GAATAAGGCATCGATAATAACTTACCAAGCCGGTGAAAGTGCGGGGACTTTTCACCGTCTGTGGCTCTGGAAAGTTCAGTATAGCCTCGACCTTAGTAGCCAGTAGGCGAATGCCCCGGCAGTCAATAGTGTGATCCAGGAAGTCGAGTGAATCAGCGCCTATTTGACACTTTTGGATATTAATGGTAACACCATGTTGACATAACCTTTCAAATGCCGAGTCCAAATATCTGAGGTGAGCTTCCTTGTCCGGACTGGCAATGAGGCATTCATCTAAGTATGCGTATACAAAGTCGAGACCGCGAAATACCTCAGTGATGAAGCGTTGAAATGTTTGGGCTGCATTTCGGAGACCAAATGGCATAAGTAGAAATTCGAAAAGTCCGAAAGGCCTAATGATAGCGTAATGGTTATTCTGGGGAATTATTTACCACTACAAAACCAAGCAGAATAAAGTGGTGTCATTTTAGTCTAATAATAATAATCTAATTAAATTCCAAAAACAGTACTTATACAGAATGGAATTCTCAGAATTTGTCACAATTTTGCGTTTGAATTACTTAAAATATAAATTAACCACAGGAATTCGTACACAGTTACGGTATTAAGTTAGGAATATTTTGGAGAGGATTATAAACATGAGAATTATAACAGTAAAGCTTGGTGGGATAAAGATAGTGAGAATGGTCTATTCACGAGTGCAAATGAGGTCAGTTAGTTCGTCCCTGGCACTATTCTGATCACATGAAATACGTGTTTCTCAATGTAAAGTGTCGGACGAAATATTCTCTTGGAATTCGGTAAGACTTTGGGAAGACCAGGATAACTCAGAAGGAAGAATTAATCGAAGTTACTTAACGTCAGACTTGATTTCTATATCAGTGCCATCAGTTGTAAAACGACCATGGAAATTAACAGGATCATTTAACTTTCTTTTACATCAGAAACTGAAATTAACGGTCAGCCATTTGGATGGATTCAGTTTAAGACTATTTACTGGCTCCTGATAGAAAGCTGTTCATCTTAGTACGGTGTAGCCGGGAGTTAACGGGCATTGAAACAGTTAGGTCATCCGCATACTTAACAAAGTAGTTATGCAGATATCGCAGTTGTTGATCATAGAAATGATGGATATTAGGCGATATCGCATTATTCAATGGCATATTGATGATGTCACTGCATATTAATAGATTGGCGAAGTAGCTTTCAACCCTAATATACTGCATTTACTTGTAATATAGACTTGGCGGTTAGTAATATACGCACTTGCGACTGGCTAGATAAGGCGTTTTTAGCGTACCGAACAGTACATAATAATTATTCAACTTGCTAAATCCTACTTAGTTTCTACAAAGTGCTATTGTATAGAAAAAGACTCGAAATCGGAAGAACGACTTAAGTAACAGTCTCACAATACCATAGTAAAATCTCCATCTTATTAACTGAGCTTAACATACATTGATCCGAATTCACTTGTTACAAGAGCACATAGTATAGCGATGCACTCAAATAGTCTAGAGGATGTGGAAATCTAGAGTATATTAAACATTTCACTAATTTACAAAGGAAAATTCCGATGAAGGGTATTAGCACTAGTTTGATCGAATGATATTTCCGCTGATGTCATATTCGACAACCTCAGTATATCTTAAAAAAATAAAGCACATATAAGGACTAGAACAGCATGAAGCTATGAAAGATAATTCTGCATATTAGCATACACTATGAATACAGTGGTTCGGTTAATACTAAGTAATATTTCATGCAAATAAATGTATTCGTAGTCCACAGCTGGTATTTATATGGACACCGTAAGCACCAATAGGCCTCATATATTTTCCAGTATTAGAGGATTATACGCAAATTCCAAGACAATCTATGAAACATCCACACTGTCTAGGCGTCATTCTCTCATCAAGCTTACTTGTAGATCAACTTCACACTAAATATGGCTGCATTAAATGAGATATCACAAACGTATGACTTGAAAATTGATCCAGAATCTCAGTAACGTGTAGTGAGCATAGTTTTATGAATCCTACAGAAATTACATTCTCATATTTCGGAAACTATCGCAATCAGATGTGAGCTGAGCATGCCTCAGCTCTAAACTGCTATGCACAGTGTTAACATGTTACTGCAGCATACATAAGAACTTAAAATATTGTAGGATATGCGAACCTATTGTGTTGATGAGGACAACAATATCATATTATAATGCAACCTAGGCATTCAATCGTGAGACTATATCTGTACTGCATTATGCAAATGGAAATTTCAGGAGAAATTCATCTCCACTATTGGTGATCAAAAATATTGTAGCATTAAGTATACACTGTCAGTGGAAATTGTATAACAGACAATAGATTGATAATAATAAGGCTGAATAGATTCAGTTCTTATAATCACTATGATTCTTGTGTTTAATCATACCATATAATGAATTAATGCATTAAGTGGAACAGCAAGGAAATTCAAAATGAGTAATTACCTTCTCCACGGCAGCCTGTAGACGGCCGTAGGTCATTTGATCAGCTGATGGATATTGGCGTTATTTATTGAAAAAACGTCAAGGTTATGTCATTTTTCGTTGTTTTACACACTTTTTACTTATATTCCTGCTAAAAGTTGATGAAATACGGCGTATTTAGCAGAAAGAACATATGATGGTGTCCTTATCCGGCCGTAGCTTACAGGCAGTTTACAGTTTGTTGAAAGACCTACTTTTCCGTTCAGAAAATGTCGAATTACTTGAAGGCACATGTTATAACGACTTTTTGTGATTTTTTTGCAGTTTAATGGATTACACATGGACATGATGAGGTGGGATAGCTCGTTTTGGTAATTATTTCACTTACTTTGTTGTGTACTTTTCCTAATGCTGACAAGGCTCCTCCACATGTATTTCTTTAAGAAAAATCTGCAGAAATACTTGGAAATTATATACGCATAGTATTTCCTTACTTTATGGCATAAACTTGACGTTTGCAGGCAGATGCAATATCGATTTTGTATTATTGAAAAATGTTTACTGACGTAATTATATACAATTCAATTATTTCGTCATTTCAAACATATTTAACGGTTAATTATTGTGTTTACACTGATAACAATGTCTACATCTGTATAATTCTTATGTTCTTTTTCAGATAATATCTACTTTCGGGAATTTCATGGATTTGGGTGATAAAGAAAAAGATACCTGCACTGTTGTCGATTTTGTATTACATGTTAATTCATTAATAAATGTATTCTTCGTTATTCGTTTGTTTATTCTACTTGATAAGACCGAATATTAGCCCTTGCGTAATTTGTGAGGTATGGAGTATATGAGGCTATCTTTGAAATACTAAGTAGGAGCAGATATTAGGAGAAGCCTATTGGTAAAAGGTTATGTTGTAGTCAAATAAAGTAAATATGCCTAAACCGTAGAGGAGGTATTGCGATTATAAAGCGTTTCGAGTTATCTATTGTCTAAGCAGAATACATACACTGATTCGCGATTCATAGTCACAAAGTGAGAGTAAATCTACCTGAGATAGTTTGCTTGTGATTTCTGCATGTCGCAATGTACCATAAGGAGAGACTATACCTGCGCTGTTAGATGTATGACTCAGTGCAACTACGGTTATCGTAATAATTAAAAACAGAATGCCTAGGGTTCTCAGCCAAAGAACACGATACGTTGCTATCTGCTCATATAATCACGTAAACAAAAGTTTTCCAGACGCCGCATTTACTCCTAACAGTTTACCCTCAACTTCTAACTTAGCACGTGCTACTTATGTTACTGGAACACAATCGCATTACAACAGAAGGAACACAGATTCATTGAAAAATTGTTTATTAAACAAAAATCAGATTTCAAATGTACAGATAATTCAGATGAGTATTTACCGTCAGTAAGTTCCATCTGCGTACACGGCACATATATGTTTTTCCATAAGTCTGAAAAGGTTTAAGAAAAGCATAATTAACTTGGGTATTACATGTATGATTTGAATAAAAAATTTTCCTGATAAGCATTTACAAGTAATCACTTTACAAACAATATATATATAAGTAGCCCAATAGTTTTCACTAAACTTAAGGGACTTCGCAACTTATCGTTTGTCGATATCTAGTAGGTCCATCGAAGCATCATGAAATGATAAAATTATTTAACGACAAGTTATGCAGTAGTTTTCAAAGCTTGTACAAATAATTTAGCAAATATGACAACAACTTTATGACAAATAATAGGTCTTGACAGCAATAATAATAACATTCATGATCATAGTGACTATAAAAACAATAATAGGTATTATTATCGCAACGAATTCATCATTAACTTAGATAGACAACTAACAATAATACAATCATATCAAATAAATGTATCACTTAATCTTAAGAAGCATGTTTTTACTTACTTTCACTGTATTCTCTCAATACTAATGTGCTCAATTAGCTTATTCCAACTGAATTTAAGATTAATTCTGAAAGTGAGTGGAGATCCAGTTTATGTCAAATAAAAACATGTAACTTACATGTATTACACTGCTTACTGAGACATCTGGTACCTGCTTTCCGATCTTCGTGACAAGAACACAGTTCATCTAGGTTTACCTACATATACAAAAGTATACGTATATGCTGCATCAACCATGCCGTTTTTATCATGATTAGCCAGACCACTGTGTATATTATACTTATTTAAGGATCTCTGAAAATAATGGTCAAGCGATAATTGAAGTTGCGTGAAGTTATTACCTCTTCAGGACATTGTTTGCATTCTTGACACTCCTGAGAAGTCCTTAGATCATAATTTGGCATGAATTCGTTGAATTCAGCAAATAAATCCACTGCTATATCATTTCTCTCCTGAGCTGTAATAATTTGTGTTGTCAACTATCTCTCCAATTTGAGAAAACGTTCACGGAAATTCAGAACTTAACCAAGCAGCTGAATGATGTTTGAAATTACCTCGACTCGAATGACAAACTGGCCAATCACAAGCGAGCGAATCGCTTGTTTATCTCATTCGCGGTCACTCAAAATTACGGCCGTCCACAGTCTGCCCTTCTCCACTGCACAGCACTTGCTGCAATCATGACCTACATCTGTTAGCCTATTAGTCACTTAAGCAGACAGTGGCCCAATGTTAATAGATTTGAGATATTTATTATCCATTGAATCCACATAACCCATGTTACAACGCACCAATTAGTGCAAATACATACGAAATCCACTCAGAGATAACCTTTCAACTTACCATAATTCCCGTCCAGCCACAGATAGAGTGAAGAGCACATCTACATAATAATTTAGGTTCCCACAGACGATTCTGTTGGCATTTACAGGCGATTTTCAAGGACCAATAGAATTATTTTGCCAAAAAGTACCGTTCTTCTTACGAAAATAGGCTGCATTGATGTCTTGAGACGTGAAGTCTTCACTGAATGATACTATGCTGAGAGGTGCAACTTCTAAATAAAGTAGACTATTTGTGTGGATAACATCACCCTCCAATTATCCTATCTTCCTCATTATAGCGATATTTTGACGCAGTCTGCTTGAAACACTAATCATTGCAACCAATATACTAAGAGTGTGACGCAGTCAAGTCACATGACGCGAACACCAACATAACTAGCCAGAAAATGGGAATTCCCATCGATCCAGATAACATATAAAATAATTTTAATAAAACTTATTGACAAAAAATTTCCAAACGAAATTTCAACAGAACTTGATATATAAGTTCAGCTCTCAAAGGAACACTTTGGTTCAAACTATCTCTTTTAAGTGTTATTAATCTTCGGCGCTCCTTTCCAATGAATTCGCTCCTTAGGATTTTATATTTCGGTCTTTTTGTCAAGTCAGTCCCTGAGTTATGAGACCGTCCCGTAGTCAACCCAGTGACAGAGTAAGTAAAAATGCTTTCTAACCTTTCTTTTCAAATCCTTAACTTTTAAACAGCCTGAAGTTCCCAACCATAAATTCATATATGAATGTGTATGTATATATTAATCAGCATGCGTCACTATATTCGTCGGGTCTAAGTAGTGATTTATATAGAGACTTCAGGCTGTTTTTTGCTAAGGAAAATAAGTTCTGTTTGCTCTCGCTTTTTAAATCATAAGCTTCGGAGTTTTCGAGCAAGTCTTCAGACTTCATCTCCCTGTGCTATCTCTAGTACCCCCCAGCATGTACTCTGAAAGTACTCAAATCTTCGGAGTGTCTTCAAATTACTATTTATATGGCTGTGTGAGGTTATAATGGTCTGGTTTTTCGTTTCTTTTTAGGGACATAGCCTCATGACAATGCGCATCACTAGGTCTTCGTTTAGGATGTCTGGAAACAATGAAATTTCTCATGATGCCGACATATCAGATCTAACGTTTCAAAGTCTAGAAAACCGTCTAAATACAGTGAGTGCCTAGGAAATTATTTATTTTGAATATTGCATATGTGTAGCAGATTGTTTTTATAATATCACTTTCTATTTTTAACTATCATAAGGGTTGAAATGAAATAAAAATGGTAGAGCCTGCGAAAGTCTCACTTTTGCAGAGCACAGTTATTTCATACGACAATATTTCTATGGTCTAAATATTATTGCTGCAGTAATATGGTTGAATTTAGGACAAGTACTCAAAATATAAGTTAATTTATCCACATAGAATCAGAATAATAATTTTAGTACTTTTCCAGAATCATATGTATACTTTGTCCGCTCTGGTCTTATTTACACCTCCGCAGATAAAGCTACGTTCCACGGATTAGGATGTTCTAAACTTGGGAGCCGTAAGATTTAATCATGTTGCACTCTAATTTTGTTAATATAATAGTTCCACGTAAGTGCCAAAATCATAACTGAAAACTATAAGAAAGCCCGCTCATCTGAAGAGTGAAGGTTTTCGTGATCATCTGAGGACCTACTTTGGCTCGTAAATATGACAGAAGTCGCCACTTACTTATTCAAGTGCTTTCACTAGCCACTCGAAATTGCGTATCTGCGAGGTATTAGCTTAAATATGCAAATCCAGGCTAACATATTTCAAGATTTTACTCCCGCCGTGTCATCGATGTGCCTGCATATCCTGTGGCATTGATAAGCTTTGCTATCTTGTTCCCTCCATTTGAATACTGTTAGTGATCTAAGGTTGCCTAATGAACACAGCATGTGAAAATCTCATGAAAAGATGGTATACATAATGGTCGGCATTAGTGGTGTCTATTCAGGTGAGGCACAGTAAGTGTAGAATAATGAGGACAAAATCGATCTGGGAGAAAACAAAGAGTGAGTGCATCTACACTCTATCATCAAAAGTCTCCAGACATTGTTAGCATCTCGAGGACCTCAACCAAACAGTCTGCATCTCCGTACGTGGCTGGCCTAACGAACAGTCAAAGAATTCATACACTGATGTCACGTTTTGATTTCATTACCTTCAACTCTTTTTCAACCTAATCGTATGTTAACTAACATTGCTCAACGAAAGGGGCGATGGCTTGGAATACGTAATTAGTACCCTAGCTAACTCAATCAATGTAGCTTCTCGACCTCATCGACTGACTGTCTCGTATCTAACCCTCTACACCTAGCACTAATAATACCATATTGTCACTTAACGTGGGTGATAGAATGTAAACACCTGTGATCAAACACAGCTAGTCTCTTCGACCGTTCTACTTCCAATGGCCATATCTCGCAGCCATAAAAAAGAATGTGAACTGCTGCACAGCATACAGACTACAGGATTGACTATATGTCAGTACTATCGAATGTAAGCAACCTTGTAGAGACAGTGGTCATGAAATCTTGTAGACATAGAGAAAAAATACGTCAGGAATGCTTTCACCAAAGCGGTTTATACCCTATATTTTCCAGTTAGATTTATGTAAGGTTCGTGTTGATAGATACTTCATTGGTATATAAGGTTGTAAATTTAAATGTTTAACTAGAAATCTTATCGTACATGTCCTAACTGCTACTCTCATGACCACTCAGGTGAACAAACGTTTTGATAGTTTCTAGTGGTTGGTTTGGAAGGGTAAGTGCAAATATAAAATCCTGTCAACCTTGTAAGAGTATTTTCCAATATGATTGTGCAAAGCGAATATCATACCCACAGATAGTGTTATCGAAGTTATATGCAATTTGAATATCAACTACCTACACCTCGTTTAATTTTAGCGATGTCTAAGAAATGTAACCGATTGTATGGTCAGATAAAAGTGTAATAATAATAATTAACTTTATTCCAAAAGCAGTTATAGCAGTTCAATGCTCCGAATCCTATTCAACAATTTATATTATTCAACAACCACATGCATTTTGATACGCTAGACAGTGAACTACTTCAGTATTTGTGAGCACCAGTGCTACTAGCTGTCTGTCCAAACCTCAGTATTGGGTGTGGAATTCTAACCCTCAGCTCAATAATTAAAATTTGAGTACCTCATCGGAGGAACCATAAACTCACTGCAAGTTACCTGGCTGAAGTACTTGTGATGCCAAGAGAATTTACACAAGAAGTCTTCGTTATATCCCTGAAAATTGTTTATGATAGTGTTGTCGTATTCACTTTTTTCACTTTCCATATTCCTAACTCTTTAGCAACCTTTACTTACACATTCTGTCGGCTGTAGCTCTGGCTGTGGTACTTGACTTTCAGCCAGTAAGTCTCTAGTTCGAATGTTTCTTCATATATGATTACAACTGATTACTATAATTGGTTTCCACATAATAAGTGTATGTATGTGACTGAGTTCTTTCACGGTCTCCCACTATAATATGATTCTATTTTCCATCTCTTTTGTAAGCTAGTTGGAAATGTTCTATTTTGAACTTATGTGGTGTTATAAAGGGTTCTGTGTGGGCGCCTATTTCTGAACAAGTTTCCAGTAAACAGTCTCACTAAGTAAACTGTATACTACTGCTTTTTGACTGTTAGTCTGAAACAATTGTGACAACTCATAGGCAGCTGATGAGAAAAAGACTGATGATCTATGCATCTACTACTTGAAAACCTGCAGACTTCTTGCAAATAAGTTATTTGCGCACTTCATGAACTCTACAAAGCATAATGATCACCGATAATTAAAGTCCAGTCGACAATATATTTGAACCTTGACAATTGTCATCCATAAACAGAAAATTCCTATACTGACTCATAGGAAGAAGATTCTTTCTATGGATGGATGTAATGAATATTTCATTCTAGAATGACGGAACGACTTCAGTTTCATCTATTTACTCGATCAAGTTAGTCTCGTTTTTATACGTGGAAAGTTGTTTAATTCATTTACCGCGGTTGAATTTCGTATGGATTTTCTGTAATTAGAGCTCTTTACGAACCTGTGTTTGTTTAGATCGGCGAGTGACTGCAGACAAGCTTAGAGCTGTGCCTAAGGATTCATTAGTTCAAGTTGCTATAATCTGACGAAGCAACGGAAATGTAACAATACTACATTGAAAAAAGATATATGTGAGAGAGAGAGAGTGACCTAATGAATAGTTGCGATTTTCGGAATTCAGAAAATGACAGCGGGTGAAAACATCTGCACGTCCTTGAATGGTTGTGAGCTATTTCAACAAATGTCCCCAACCATTTTCTTAGCATCTCGAGGACACCAACCATTAGCTCATGTTAACTGGTCATCAAGTACAAGACAGTAAGATGAAAGCAAAGACTATTCATATATGAAGATTGTTAATCAGGACATTACCTATCTCATAGGCTTTTTTGATGCTGTTTCTCCAGCTGTCAGTAGCTGGGACGAAATGGAGCAACTATTATAACTACCGCTGCCTTCATCTCACTAGTGCTTTGAAACCACCTAGCCACGACTTATGGACTTATGAGTGACGGACTTACACAAAGCCAGTGTGTTCAAAAGGTTGCATGAACTTTATAGAAGTCCAGTTTTTATTAGTGGGATTAGGATCCAGATTTTATGTGAGACCTCACACAGCAGTACTTTTTTTGCTAAATTGTGTTTAACGGCCAAGATTGACACTGATGAACAGGTGATTGGAATAAAGATAAGGTTAGTGGAATAACACTGGCTGTATGAAAATACGACTGATTTATAGAAAAGGTTATGCAGTTAATTTGATCGGTCCGGAGATTAGACGAGTTCTCTGCAGTTTCACTACTGAATAAATTTTCAGCGTAGAATATTGCACTAGTGTGCAACGATTCAAGTTGTTACACTTCTAAATTTCACATAAATGTAGAAAGGAGAAATGCAAAGAAATTGTAATAAACAGAAATGTATGGAGACAAAGAATATTTTCATGTAGAATACTGAGGATATAATGAATCCTTGAGATCATAAGGAGGGAATGCATGTACCTCATTAAGAATAATTCTGACACATGTTACTATCATTCTCCAACAATCGCCCGACCGAAAGCTGCTACGTTGACGTGGTACTCGGGCTTGAACACCGCAATGACCCAACAAGCTATACTGGCTGAGGCTTATGTCGCTTGAGGTCCTACCATGCCAGAAAGGTTGTTTGGATAGCAGTTAGACAAAAAGCAGCTACCCAACCCAATACTATGATTCAAACAAATTCACAAAGTATCATGCCGTATCGGTCGGGGCCCGGATTAACAACAACCGCGTTTCCTTCTGCCGTGTCACAGGGCAGAAGTGATAAATATGCTACTGAGACACACCAAATAAAGAACAAGCTAAAGCAGGCCGCGTGTGACCGGCCTCAAGCAGTTGTCCCCTGGGATCTGCGGTCACGGTGTGGGCAGCCAGGAATCAACAACCGCCCACACACTTCCAAAAGCACACGAAGCCTTCCTAAGCATCACTCTTCCTTACTCACATCACCTTCCTCATCTTGCTTCTCTTCTACAGTTAGCACTATTCTGCAGGCTAGTGAGTCATCTTCACTTCACTCTGTGTCCACAAACAACGGTGAGAGCCATAGAAACACCCCAGATAGCCTTTTAAAGCCACGTCGCCAACTTCATATAGGAGCTTTCAACGTTAGGACCCTCTGCCAAATCGGACAACAGTCATCGTTACCTTTTCATAGTCTCCGCTTACGCCCCAACAGACTGCGGTTCAGATGAACAAAAAGATGACTTCTGCCCGAAACTGTCTAATTTGCTGCAAAAAGCAAAACGTTCAGATATAGTTGTTTTAGCAGGCGACTTCAGTGCCCAAGTAGGGAAGTTGTGCCAGACTGAGATGTATTTAGGTGGTACGTATGGAGTTCCCTGCCGACGAACCGACAACGGTGATTGTCTTCTACAGTTTTGCTCAGATAGTCATCTGTTCCTAGTCAGCACTAACTTTAGGCACAAAGAGAGACATTGTGTAACCTGGCGACCTCCATCACCAAATCAACGCCGGACTCAGATAGACCACATAGCCATAAGGTATCGTTGGCGAGGGTCAGTAGAAGACTACCGCTCCTTCTGGAACACGTTCGTAGACTCTGATCACACTCTGGTCCGCGCACGTTTATGCTTACGACTAAATGGACATAAGAAATTGACGGCAGCGAAACAGTTACGTCCCCAACTAGATAGTGACACAGTCCTTATTTAAGGAAGAAATAACGAAACCTGTTTCTGAGGTCGACAGCAGGACTTCCCCTGAGGTGGCCTGGCTCAACATACGGTTAGCTGTAGACACAGCTGTAAAAGCTGTTAATAAGCTAGAACCAAAAGTTAGTAAGAGCCATTGGATCTCTACCGCCTCATCCGAACTGATTGACGCAAGAAGACTGATTCCAGCGAACTCCGATCTTGATGAGGAGCGAAAGGTACTCACACGAAAACTAACAAGAGAACTTCGTAACGACCGTGAACAGTGGTGGGTGACAAAAGCGAAAGAGATAGTAAAAGGCATCGCCGATTGGTAACATCAGACAACTATTTGACTTATCAGGGAAACAGGTGGTAAAATACAAACGATAAGTTAAACGACCTCTGAGAAAAATAGCACTATAAATAGCTCCTAGGATAGACGACTAGAACGTTGGAAAGAACACTTTGAGGAGCAGTTCAGTTGGCCTACAGCCACGGTCAACTTACCAAACATCCCACATTTCCCTGAATGGGATATAGACACAGGTCCTCCGTCCCTAACTGAGGTTACTAAAGCTGTCACTGGTCTGAAACAAAACAAAGCTGCGGGACCTGATGGAATGACTCCAGAGGTATTTAAGTACGGTGGAGACAGTTCACTGTCTGCATTAACTGAGGTACTAGGCAGCATCTGGAAAGCAGAGGAAGTCTCATCGGGTTGGTGTAAGTCACTGATTATCCCCATTTGCTAAAAGGGAGACAAGTCCTCCTGTGATAATCACAGAGGGATTAGCTTGACTAATATAGTATCTAAAGTCCTGGGCTCAATAATATTGCGTAGAATAAGTGGTGCTCGGGAGGCACAAACACGAGAGATCCAGGCAGGCTTTAGACCAGGAAGAGGGTGGTTGATCATATCTTCACCCTCCGACATTCTAGAACATAGTGGTATAATGTGGTGGTGGTATAATGTGAGCAATATTGAGGTCAGGCGTCGGGTTCTAGGTAAGCACGGGAAATCAATCGACGAGATTGTGAAGTTACATTGACTGAGATGGTTAGGACATGTGTTACGTATTCCTAGTCATCGCCTTCGTCGATAATGGGCAATGTTAGCTGACATATGGTCAGGCTGGAAAAAAGCTAGCGGTGGTCAAACGAAAACATGACACCAGTCAATGAAATCTACAACAGTTGGTCTAAGCCACGTAGGGAGGTGTAGACTTCCTGACTGTTTGGGGTCCTGAGGACGGTAAAAACCAATGGTTGGAAACAATTGGTGACATGGCTCAAAATCGTTTTCAATAGCTGGTGCAGATGCATCCACTCCTTGTGACTTATGATCTCCAACTGTGTTGTTCTTCGTTACTTCTATTCCTTTGTCTCATACCTCTGTTTACTGTCTCTATTACTCATTTTTTCTACCTTCTTCTCGTGCTTTGTGTGCTACATGGAGTGTTGCGACTTGAACTGCTGCACATCGGTGCAAAGTTCTATATCGATAACAGACAGACCAACAATCGGATCTAAGCGTCTCAGGGACACCAACCAGGCAGTTTATACCTGCTTACGTGAATTCTTATTTCTTGATATGTATCACTTTAAACAGTTAACCTCACTGTCATTAATAAAATTTTGTTCAAGTTTGAGTCGACGATATTTGGTTTAATAGTTTTTTTTTAAGTGAGCATATGCAAACATATTTAACATTGCAGTCAATTTTATTATTTAATATTTCTGTACCAGTCTAGCATACACATTAGTCCTAAATCTTCACCAAGTGTCGAGGTTCATCAGTCACTCCTTAACTCAAGGAAACGTGGACGCCCAGGTAAAGAAAAGTTGGAAAACTTAGGTAAGTATATTTCTCCTCAAAATAATGTACAAATTTTCGGCTTTATTCAAACTATTGTTTTTGTTAATCATGGTGTGATTATTCATTTCTGTTTTGTCAGTTTTTTTAAGTGAGCTTTTGGATTATTAGATTACAAAACTCAAAGTAATTAAATGGTAAGAGAGTAAAACAAATGTTCACTTGTCTAATGTGTTTCACCTCTTAACCATCCACGTTTATAATTTCTGAAATGTAGACTAGGAGTAGTAACACATTGATGGGTGTGACCTAACAGTGTTGCATTATAAACTACCTTTTCACTTCTAGTGCGTCGGTGGCACAGCGGTTAGGACGCTCGCCGACCATGCTCATGGTCCGGGGTTCGATTCCCGGCCGACGCACTCCTTTACCTCGCTAAACTCATAATGAGACTGCTAAAGAGGAAAGGTTGGGCATGAGGCTAGCAACCCCATCTTATAAAAATAAACACTGCTACAGAAACTTCAAGCCACTAGCTTGAAGCCCTATGTTCCACTGGGAACGTGAAGGAAAAATTATTTATTATTATTTTTTCACTTCTAAACTTATAGGTGGTATATAACAATTCCATTTACTATCGCAGTACGAAGACTTACAGAAAAGTATCTGGTTATAACATAGTTTGGAGTGTACTTGAATATAATCAGCACTTTTACATTTGATGGCATAGTGAAAGTAATGGTGGGGGTACTTTTAAAATGTCACTTCTTTGTATATAGTGACCGAAAGTGGTTGAGAAATTGGGGAAACATCATTTTATACGGTGACAACATAAGGAAGCGTATGACATTTTAGCTTGAGTATTGCCCTTAAACTGACTCTAACTGCATGTGTGCGGTATTTTAATTTATGAGATCATCCCATACGATAGTCAGTGACAGTCCTGCTGCAATTTCTGTTCAGTGAGAAAAAATAAAGAGGTAATGAAAAATTTTCTGGAGCATTGTTCATTTCTGTGTTCAACTGTTGCCCCTTAAATTATCAGTGTTTTTAATTTAGCTTATGTACGCTATTTATAATCGATACTGTAATCCCTTGGCATTCTATTGAAGAATGGTGGTGATATAGATATCCTTATTAATTCCTTGTGAAACCGACAATAAGATATTTTTATCACAAACAGACGTTGGGATTCAAGGGACATTCCTAAGCGACTATTTTCCTATTTGTCGTCCGCTCACCGACGCGAACTGACTGTTGCTATTCATCTAGTGGCCTTCAGTGGCAAATTCAGATCACAGCGAAGCCGCCATTCAGATGCTCACAAATGTAAAAGGATTATGTTAATTTCCCACTCATTAGCGATTAACTTTAAAGTATTTCTCAAAGTGTCGAAGAAAAAATTGTCTGATAAATCAAGACAGATCCGCGAAACCAGTCTCTAATTAAATTGAACAGTGTATTTTTATATAGAAAATCCAGTCAAATTTGGGAAATATGGGTTATTAGGTGTTGTTCCAGTGACTAAATATTGGTTTGCGCACGATAAAATTATCTGGTTACCGTTAATTCAATCTTACGCGGGGTCGTGGGTGTACATTACTGATACGAGTACCAAACTGGAGCGACATAGACGTTTACTACTCTGTCTTGATGGTCATCTAGTTGCTGTCAATTCTTAACTAAAACTCACTTTGAGAATAACTTGTTTTGTTTACCTTTCATGTGTTGCAAAACCAAATTGTGATTGAACTTGCTGATTCTGTCTATCTGTCCTTGTAATAATAACATTTTGTATTTGATCTCAGTTGATTCCAGTGGAAACCCTGAAAATCTCTCACTTAATAGATTAAATGTTAGTGTAGCAAAAATCCCACCTGATGAATGTGGAAGTTATTACAAGGAACAAACGTTTAACAAACCTTCAAACTGTAGTAGTTCATCAGATGACTCTGTCGTACATTATGTGCGTAAATTACGCCCCCGTCGATCAGGATCAAATTATTGTTCTACTGAAAGAAGACCTTTACATCGAAGCAGTAAATTTCGGCGCGTTCGTTGTGAAGTTAGCATTTCAAATAATAACAATACATCACAGGGCAGTTATTCAACAGATGGCAAATCCTATCCGAACTCTGTCACCTTTCGTGATGACCACAATGATGCTATTTTAGATGAAGATGATGAAGAAGATCAGGGGGATAACGACGAACAACGAACAAGACGGTATCCAGTACGTAATCGCAGAAATACTACTGTTTATCAAGGTTAGAGGTGTTTTAGTTTTCTTGTCTATTTTTCACTGGTGTCTGAAATAAATGTGTTGAAACATGTAGCACTAGCCATTAAACTCTGGAGCATGTGTTAACTAAGAAACTTAGCATAAATGATCAGGCATATTGAATTTGGCTATAATTTATTTTTTATTTAATTTTTGATTAAAGCTTGATTCCACACCGTATTTTTGTTACAAGTATGGAATTTTCAGCATGTGATATCGGTAGCCCAAATTTTGCAGGTCGACCATAGATATCAGGTGTGCGTCGACAGAGGATCGAACTCCGGACCATGTGCATGGTTGGCGAGAGCCCTAACCACTGCGCCACACACATGCTTATTACTTTCAAATTCTTCATTCGGCCAATGGATGCCAACTTTCATGTTAAAACTGGTTTTGTTTATCAAATTGAATTATATTGAATATGATGATTGCCTTTAGTCCTACTATGACAGTAAGGTCGAACAGATAAATATGTGTTACTAAAAGCAGTTGTCATTATTATGCTATGGGCTTGAGAGTTAATGTCTACTCGTTAACGGTTATGGTGGCATTGAAGCTTTTTCTGGGAAATTCAGTAATTTACTTCACCCACCACTGTGTGAATGGAGGACAGTTTCCACAAACTGTCCCGTCTTTTTTCTGACTGCTTTCCGTAACTGGCGTTAAGTTTCTCTTCTTATAGAAGCAGTTCTACTTCATCCAATATCCCTCACTTGTCATGTGTGACCAGTTTTAAACTACTTGAAATCTCGGTTTCAGAGTTATCTAGTCGGTTATATTTAATGTGATTAGGGACAGTGAGTTGTGTTCATATTGTTACTGAGTAAATAGTACTGTTTCATTTTATGAAATAATTAAACAAACAAACTAATGTGGATTATTCTGCACACATCCTTACTTAAATGCTTCGCTTGAATTTCTTTGAAATTGTAACACTTTACAGTTGAAAATCCTCAAAACAATCATAACAACAATCCGCCTCAACAACAGCGGAACTGGATGGCTGGTACTGGATATGATAAACATAGACGATCGCGTCGGTTTAGATCAAAGTGAGTGAAACTTTTTTTCGTCACATTTTTTGCGTTAATTAGTTTCGAAATCCCCATTATTTGTTAAAACGAAAGACAGCCAGCGAAGAGTAACTCTTTTGGTAACTCACTCTCAAGCTGTAAAATCTCTCTCTCTCTCTCTCTCTATATATATATATATATATATATATATATATATATATGACTAATGCTTGCACATGAGAAATGTATCTCGAGCATTTAACTTGTTACTGACTAATCAATTGAGTCCATAACCATTTCTCCATAAATTTTGTTTAAAACAATTTCTATCTTTAGATACCGCAAAAATTTGGATCATCGTGGTTCTAGTACATCCTCTTCCTCAAGTGATTCGGATGGATCATTATGTGTTCGCAGTCCTATTCGTCGTGGATGGGATCGTTTATATTACTCTGCCAAAGAGAATAATGGTCCTGTTACTGCTGTTGATGACGATGAAAAACGTTTTGAACGTCGTGTTAATAAAAGCATTATGCATGCCAGATCGGAATTAATGCCAATTAACAAACACCAGCTTGGTTTTAGGGTAAGTTATACTATATACACTTGATGTAATGCGTATTTCTCAGTATAATACGGCTGTACCACATAAAATATGTCTGTGCGTCATGCGGCATTGTGATTGTGTATCCCGTCAATGCATATGATTGCTTAGACCAACAGTCAATCGCTTCATGGCTTGGTCCCAGATCTTGTTCCTCATTTGAATTCATTTCAGCGTAATCATGTGTCAGCTAATATGAAATGTTACAGTAAGCCACTGGTAGACATACATTAAACATATAGCCACTTTAAAACCTCAATTCATGTAGCTATCTGACTTAATATCGTATCCATAATCTCAATATCGTCCACATAATTTACCTAGCATATGCTCAAAACGCAGTTGTGTAAGGTTGTCCAAAGCTTTTTCCGATTACTGTGTCAAAACTAGACAATATGCCCAAGTGAACTGTCATGTGAGTGTTTTCAGCACTAACGATTAGTTGGATGTGAGAGGAGGCCCTTTGGATCTGTACCGACTTTATTTCCGTTACCAACTCAGCGATTTTAATACAACCTCATAAATATATTACGTGGCCAGTATGCCTAATTATCCCGATCTTTATAATCAAATGGCATATAGATAGAAGCAGAAATCGTTATTGAAATCTCCTAACATACCTTACTTCCTGTCATTGATTCCATAGTATAATATTGTCTTTCGCGTACTCCAAGGAATTAGATCCCTGTAGAGTTAGTCAGACAATGGATACCTTTGTAGGCATTTCTCTGAAACAGTCAAATAACATGGGAAACTTTGATATCCTCTGATCTCCGCCACTTGATCTCGATACGTCGTGGGATGTACGTATCACTTTTAGTGATACAGTCAAATGCTAGCTTTACATTTAGAGAAATATGGCTAGTTGTGGACACTGAGAAGTGCCATAGTGTTTTAAAGATTATGCATACTGTTTGTGCACTTAATCTATTTTACGTCACTACCTAATCAGTTTCCCAATTGAAGTTTAAAGTTAACTAAACTAAAATGTGACCTAAGTGATCACTTGCTTTTAAACCTTATCCAAGGTAGCCTATTGTTGTTTGTATTCTTCAAATTCAATTTGGTGTCATCAGTTGATGATTGTAACTAAAAATAAAAACACTAGTTCAGCAAAGAGGTTCTTTTCAGCTAATTAAATTAAGATCCACATTTTCAACTCCAATGTGAAGTTAGTGCTACTTGGCTCCGCATCACGATGTGTACTTCAACAAACTACAGACTTTCATCAACAGCTGTCTTCGCTCAATACTGCTACGCAAGATCAGATGGCCAGAAAAGATCAGCAACAGAGATCTCTCGGAGTAAACCAACTCAGCAGGAACCGATTGTGCAACAAATCTGCAGTTGAAATGGAGGTGGAGAAATAATCTGAGAAAATCATCAAGTAACATCACACGCCAGACCATCGTTCGAGGGGAACCCGAATGGAAAGCGGCGAGTTAGTTGGTCGTCAGTGCGAGGGTGACATAGAGGAGGTCGAGTGAAGAGGGGTTGAAAGCATGTGGGCAGACGCGGAGCCAGGTGGAAACGTCGGTGGAAAGCCGAACACAATGGAGACGTGCGGTTGAAGCTCTGCGCTCCTCTAGAAACTAAAAGAAACAATAATAATAATATAATAATTTGTACAAGCCTAAATTCTTGTGAAGTTCTTTCTAGTTTTACCGGAAGATATACAAGGAAAACTTTGCAAAGAGGATGTTTAGTATCAGATGAAATAACTTTAGCCAACTGCTTGCAATAATTGAAGTGCCTATTGACAATAATGTCAATTGGTTGAGTCAAAGGCGCACACCAATAACCCTACTTGCAGTCTTCAGTGTTCTAAGTAATACGATATAACCTTTTTTAAGAAGTCCAGGGAAGAATAATCGCGAACAGTAAAGGAGAATGGGCAGAATACATGAATTTACAAATTATGAGAGGAAGGGTTGAGTTATGCCAGAAAGTCTCAACTTCTTTATGTAATAAGTCGAACGAAAAATTTTCTTAAAAATCAACAGGACATGAAACACCCAACACAGATTCGAAGAGAAACTGATGCAAACATAGAAAATATTCGATTTACTTTCTATCACAATGCTGACAATATTACAGGAATTATGCAACTGAATCGGTTCACGCAAGTCTTGTTCGCAATTGAAACTAAAATGAGCAATATGACATTCAGATGGATTTAGTTTAAGACCATTTAGTTGAGACCACTTGTTAACTTCGGATAAGAATCTCTTCATATAAGAACAATCCAATACAGAAACTAGTGGGACAGAAATGTTTAGATCGTCGTTGTTTTCAACGAAGTTAGCTTTAGAAGAATATGCAAGGACATGGAAAAAGAAAGAAAAAAAGAATGGAAAGAGAGTACATTGCCTTGAGGCCTACCAGTTTCTGTTAACAACCAAGTGGAGAGCTTTCCATTCAAATCAGTATGTTGTTTTCCACCCGAAAAATAAGAAGACAGCCACCTTGTGACCCAGGACTCAGTGTTTGCTGGAATCAGCTTGCTTAGTAAAAGTGTCCTAGGAATAAGGTCAAAAGCAAAGCAGCACTGTAAGTTGAAAAAGAAGTCTCGAACAAACTTTGCACCTTTATCAAGACTTCGAACATTACTGTGGTGGAGTACAACGGCAGCATCTCATGTGCTTCTACTGCATTTGTATGCAAACTGCTTTGCGTCATTAAACACTTCAAAGAAGGTTTATGAACATGCAAGAGAAGTTTCTCTATAGTTTCCATAAATGGAAACGTGATGGCGAATGGCCTAAACTTTAGACCTGATCCAGAAGATGATTTTGGTACAGGCCATACCTTTATTTCTTTCCAGGTAACAGGTACTGTATCCTTGTGATTTGTGCAAGAGAATGACACAAAATGTCAGCACACTTTTGAAGAAAAACTCTTGGTACACCATCAGGACGTTAGCTGTGCAATGGATTTAAGGGTTTTAGACATAGCGATACATCCTTTTCATTAGAACCAAGAAAATGATCATCTATGTGACTAGAAACATCAGGTTCAATCCCATTAGCTTGTTGCATCATAAAAATCGATTTAAGGCCGAAACTTATTCTTTTCTTTTATTTCTATTTACCATCCCATTTATGTTACTTACTGAAGAATAAATCCACAGTTGATGATCGATTAATGGGTGAAAGCTGCTTAGGTGATATTCAACCAATGTCTATTGATTCATCTGTCGGATTTCAACAAATTGGTGGACATGAACAACATATATTAGCATTGAGAGAGAGTATAATCCTACCGTTAATGTATCCTGAAGTATTTTCAAAGTTCAATGTTGATCCACCGCGTGGCGTATTGTTTTCCGGACCTCCAGGTAAGTACTCAGTTGTAGTCATATATTTTTGAACAACACATTTAAGCGAACAACATTGTTTTTCAATTGGATATCATCAGGCTTAACTCTAATATACATAACTTTACAAATAAAAATTCAAATATAAAGCAATCAGGGTGTTTTGTTTATGGGTTAATAAGATAATGGACATAAATTGTGCACTTAGTCATAATAATAATGGTTTTATCTATAATAAGGACGAAAATATGAGGCAATCTGTTATAACACGAATAATGAAAAACAACATGATTAAACAAACGAATGTTCAGGTAGAGGTAGTCGATAAAGGCTAATAAAAACAAATGAACCGATTAAGTAATTCTAGATTGTAAGGGAAGTAAATGAAACACATTTTTAATGAAGATGTGATAAGATTAAGGGATGCTAAGAGAGGGGTTGAAAATATAAGTAAGCGGTGGTGTAGAAGTCATCAGTTGGTTATGTCTTAATAGGCCAAGGGAGGGATAATAGCTGTACGAACTTCTTTTGAATACATAATAGTTCGAGTGCCTATCGCGTCAGCTGTGTGCAGTAGACGAATACGAAGTCTATTGGAAAGATTCGGTGGGATACGATGAATTACTTTGAAAGCTGTCGTTTTCTCCACTACATGACCACTGTCATTTAAATGTGACAAAATTGAGCTGCGGATTGTTTTGTCTGTCCTTTGCCAAACCACGATGGGAGATGTTCACTAACACGTTGGCTGAGCTGTCTAGTAGTACGCCCAACATAACTGTCACCGCAGGTGCAGTTGAATTGATAAATGCACATAGATGTGGCATATATATATATATATATATATATATATATTTAGCCAGTAAATAATACTGTTTCACTGTGATATATCCAATTAAAAAATTAATATAGAAAACGGAGTTGTGTCTTCGCTTCAATAACAGAAATCGTTGTTAACTCAGGACACCTAGCCCCACTTGAAAAACCCTCCAAAATCTTACACAAGATGCGATCGAACCTCTCAAAGGGAGTGAGATCAAGACGTCCGGGTGTAGCAAAAGCATTGGCATTCCAGCAGCTCAAGCCGGCGCTGTGAATTTTTAAAAGCAATCCGAACCTTTTCCTCTCTCTGTCATAACCGGTCTTAATCGCAAGATGAATTCAATAATTTTCATAACTTAGTGCCAGCATTGTCTGTATGTAGTGTTCCTGCGGTGAGCATTGACTGAGTATACTCTACATGCGAAACTTGCAAACTTCATAATCTTCACCGGTTTCGAATATTGGCAGCCTTCGAAACGGGACAGTAGTCTCTGCCAGTGACGGGCTTGCACTCACTTTGATCTTAGTGAATGCTGCGGGTCTTTCCTCTTGATCGAAGGTGGAGTCCACGCTGATGCAGTAATCGTTAACACCTCCGACACAAATTTCTGTAAGGAAGAGTAGAGCTCAGAGAACAGCTTCACCTTGAAAAGAGATGAGAGCACATTGACCAACCAACCAACACAAACATACTGGAACACAAGAGGAAGAAGTTGAGGCAAAGTGTTTTCTAATAGCAATGAGAGATACAGATTTTAGGCTGATTAGAAGTATATGTTTATTGTTTTATATTATTTGTGTTCAGTTTTCTATATCATCTCATAATTGCACTACTACATTCAAAAGCCCGTATCTACAACATAAGAGAAAAACCACAGTTATGTTGCGCTTATAATTGCACATATCAGTTTAGCAAGTGTGACAGTAGTGGTTTGATTATTTCCAAGTTAAGTCGCGGATTAGCATCAGCTAGCGAATCGTTGAATCGTTCATTATTATTATTCAATTATTTGTTTAAGTCGATCTGAAATTTCCGTCAACTGATTTATATTTGGCCGCAGTGCTAACGAGTCCCCAAATAGGACGAAATGCCCATCCTGGATTCCACTGTTAAAACCCATCAATCAAGTGATATTATTTCATTTCATTTATTATCCGAACTTCTAATTTTCCTGTATTAATTCCTATTTGTTATTAGTAACTTCACTCAACTATTCACTGTATTTTGACCACTGCCTAACTGGAGATAATTCTGAAGTTTATTTACCTCTTTGTTCACAAATGTAAAGCCTAGTTGACATCCTCGTTGAAAGGAGAATTTCTGTATGTGCTACAACTGTCTTTTTGTTTTCCTATGATTTGATGGCAATGTGTTAACCTTATCACTTGACGACATTTGATTCATTCTCAGATATGTCCCTGGTTGGTGAATACTAAAGTGGAAGAGGTATTGCTCACTGACTTAAGCAGTTGGAAATTACTGTGAGCAGTTACTCATTAGGTGCATCTTAGTTCCTAGTGTATGAATGTTTACCGAAATGGTAGATTTCAACTCAGCCAGTCGTATGATTTTTCATCTCCTGTATTGTAAGCCTGCCGATTTAATAAAACATTGAGTGATACTGTATTTGACAGTAGTTAGATGTACTATTGTAACAACAGAAGACAAGGGCCAGGCAACAGATCGTTTTATTATGAAAATCAACACGTATTTATACATCTTTCAACTACATTATTATAGACAAGCGCAGTCATCTGATTGGTTGTTTAGGTAGACAAACGCAGGCTTCTGATTGGTTGTTTCGGGATTCCTTGACAAATAGAGTTCTCTCTGCGAATCATATTCTGCCACGTTAACTTTGCTGTGATTGGTTGTTGACTCAGGCTTGTTCATATTTTCTCACGGCCCATATTAGTGACCTAGACCTTAACGTAGATTAGTGCCAACCAATCGGCTAGCAGCCTGCTCTCACCACACTATAAGAAATAACAGTCGTCGAGATGAAGATAACTTGAGTTCAACTTCACTACAGATTAATATCTACAAATAATGCTTTTCCAGTGTTGGTACTTGTGACTTGTTAAGATTGATGTCAAGAATTCAAAAAACATTTTATCTTCATGAAATAAATCATAATGGAATAGTAGTTTTCACGTTTGTGTGTTAGTGAAATAATTCTATTGTGGAAAGTTTTAAGGTATTACTAGTATCTGTAGTAATATTAAAAATGTGAGGTGAGTTAATAGATGAGGCGTAAATTTTATGTGAACTTCAGGCTTCAAAGATTTGGTGAAGTACATCTATGGTAGTCAATGTTCACTAAATTATTATAACCTTATTGATGAACGACCGAATTATGATGCTACTGAAACTCATGGAGGTACCGACTGTCGGTGTGGTTCGTCAAAAATGCTTAACATCGGTGCTTAACGCATAGAAAGTCGATGAAGTCACAATTCTACACTGTTTACTTATTACGTTTTTGCAGGATTCTTGTTCCTATCATTTTTTATCTGTTTAGATAATTGTAGATTTTTTCTTAAGTAAACGTCTGGGTCTCTTAGAGTATCTAAAACCCGCCTATGGCACAGTAGATTACAGTGCTTCTCTTTGTGCGCATGTGAAATCACTCCAGTAGATGGGAATAAGAATAGGCGATCTGTTTACGGCAGCATGTGTATTCTACATTTTTCAACAAACAACACCTGCTTCACAGTAGCAATCTATTTATTGCAGGAAGACGGAGCATTGAGGGGTGGTTATGCACATCAAGAAGACTTTAGCCCAGCAACATATATTTCTTAGATCAACAGTCTGAGACTTCGAGAACTGATGTAATGTTTTCGTTTAATTACCTATTTTTTTCCACTTAATCCTATCTTTATTGACAGTGTTTTTTTCATGAAGGTGCGTTGGTGGCACAGCGGTTAGGACTCTCGCCAACCATGCACATAGTCCGTGGTTCGATCCCCTGCCGACGCACACCTGATATCTATGGTCGGCCTGCAAAATTTGGGCTACCGATATCACATGCTGAAGATTCCATACTTGTACCAAAAATATGGTGTGGAATCGAGCTGTAATCAAAAATGAAAACAAAAAATTTTAAAAATACATCCATATGTGTAACATATGCTCCAGTCACACTATCCATTAAAGATTCATAGCCTCATTATTTGAATTCCTGTCTTTCCTTGACATTTTTGTGGTACTTCAATATACTTATGCAAACATTCTCAAAGAATCCGTGACATTTTCATAACTTCTTCTTTTGACAATTATCACTTGTCGGTGAAAAGTAGGACAGAGCAAAGTGTTTGGGGTACACTGATCCTATTTTATATAATCAGATATCATGCTTTTTTATTCTTCTACATTGCCAGTGGACCATAAGGCACCAAGCTAGAGTCCTTAATTTTTGGTAGCAGTGATGTTTATTTTTACGGGATGGGGTTGCTAGCCTCATGTCCGACCTTCCCTCTTTTCAGTCTTATTACTGGCTTAGTAAAGTAAAGGAGGGCGTTGGCTGAGGATCGAACCCTGGACCACATGCGTATTTGGCGAGCACTCTACGTCTGTGCCACCAATGCTGTTATCATGCTAGCAACGGAGATTTTATCAGCTACCTGTCCATAAAGACTGATGCAAGTTCTAAAGTAAATGAAAGAATCACTCTTCTCTTAAGGTCACAGTTGATGCTAACCGTTCTTCTAACACTATCTTACATTTGATGGATATAGTAGGCTTTCAGATTTTTGTTTAGCGCATTCAAGATGAATTGTAGAGTGTTTGGTGTAACATTGACACTACATTAATCTTGCTGTTGATTAAAGTATGATAATCCATTGCTTACTCTTTAATTAGTAAAACTTATTTTCTCGATAAAAATGTTTATGAATATATTTGCCTTTCTTGTAGTCATCTTTCATTTCTACTTTCTTCTACTAGGTACAGGAAAAACATTGTTAGCCAGAGCTTTAGCTAATGAATGCAGTCGTTTGGCTGAAGATAACAATGGCTCAGGAAAACGTCGTGCTATAGCATTTTTTATGCGTAAAGGAGCTGATTGTTTATCTAAATGGGTTGGTGAATCTGAACGTCAGTTGCGTTTGTTGTTTGATCAAGCCTATCGAATGCGTCCTTCGGTTATATTTTTTGATGAAATCGATGGTCTAGCACCAGTTCGTTCATCAAAACAAGTAAGTTTCAAGTTATTTTTAAATTATTATATAGGCATGATGAGCATATTTGTTTGCTTTTTGTATTAGAAAATCGTTTTTATTCTTTTGTTTTGCAGTAAACGCTTCGATTGATAGCATTAAAGGTTTAGAAAGTATTCCAAACTGCGCTGTTTATTGGACTGAAAATATCGAGAAATAGGCAATTACTGTAATTATTTCATACAACCAGTTCCCCTGATTAGTTTGAACAAAAAAGGGACATACATATTTGCAGGGTTAAGAAAAAAAATCATGTCTTCTACTTCACTGCTTTTCTTCAGCTGCTAACAGCCTAAATATTTGACATAAGTTGTCATAAATGCAAAAGTATGTAAAATACAACAAAAATTATTATTTAAACTCTAAGGGCATAGTTGTATAACAAGAAGTGATATGAATACGAGATAGTTAGTAATCTAATAATCAGAGTTCACTTATGCACGATATTGATTAAAATTTTGAGAGGAGAGATTGAGAATGAAAAGAATTGGTTAATAGAAACGAAATTATTAAGGAAACAAACAATCACGTAAATTGGATTTTTATTAAATCTCGCACTACCATGGTAATTAGACGCGTCTACTAATTCCCTGTGTTCCTGTTGTGTCACAACTCTTTTTCCGGTTATGATTCACTGAGCTGGACTTATTAATAGTCTTCCAACTTACGTGATTGTTTGTTTCCCTAATAATTTTATTTCTGCTAACCATTTCTTTTCTCCCTCACCCTCTTCTTTCAAAATTTCAACCGTATGCATAAACTCTGGTTGTTAGATTATTAACTATCTTGTGTTTATATCACTTCTTGTTCTACAACTATGCCCTTCGAGTTGAAATAATTTTTGATGAATTGAACCGGTAGAAGACGAAGACTTGGTATAGGAATGTTTATTTGGTAATAGCTATCTCTATATAAACAAATTATGTATACGTTATCTTCAACGCGTCGGTGGTATAGCGGTTAGCACGCTCGCCGACCATGCATATGGTCCGGGGTTCGATTCCCGGCCGGCGCACTCCTTTACCTCACTGAGCCAGAGATAATCCTGGTAAAGAGGAAAGGTTGGGCATGAGGCTAGCAACCCCATCCTGTAAAAATTAAACACTGCTACAGAAACTTCAAGCCATTAGCTTGGAGCCCTATGTTCCACTGGGAACGTGAAGGAAAAATTATTTATTATTATTTTATCTTCAACGCATCATTTGCACAGACTTTCGTGTTGTGGTACTTCTGGACTTCATATTGTGTTTCGATGTGTTCTGTTCACGTCTCCCATGTATCTCTGTAGCATTGTATCATTTGCCTTCTCTGACATCAAATCTCTCTTCTTGCTATTGTATGTTTTTATACCGATGAACGTCCCTTTGTATACTACTGATAAACCTTATCAGTAGCTCTCGCTATCGTATGTAATGTAGTTTTACATTCATAATGACTTATGGCACATTCAAGCTGTTAACAGTTGAAGAAAAGCCGTGAAGTAGAAGACATGATCCTTTTTTATCCTGCGAATATATCTGTGCTTTGTTCGCACTATAAGTACGGTTTAACTGGCTTATTTTTCAACAAGCAGAGCTATGGTTGCCCGTTGTAGCCTGTTGAATGTACCTAAGGTCAACTCTCACCACACTTTCCTCTGGAAACTGAAATTATTCATATCACAATATTTGATGTGCTTGGTGCCATAAATAGCAATGAAGAAAGCAAACAAAGATGTATGATGCTATATACTACTGGTTGGTCAACATTAGTAGTTGAACACCACTCACATAAACCAGTAGTGCTTGTTAATTAGACTGAACGTTCCACTTTCAGGGTAAAGGCACTATTTCCTATTCTCTTTAAGACGTCCAGACAGTTATATAACCTTCAAGTTGCCATAGCTATATGTATGTTTGAATGTCTAATGTATATACTTTCAGTGTTGCTGTACTACCTTTCTCTTTTCTGCCTTGTTTTCTTCAACAAAGTCATCTTTTGAAGGTGTGCTTTTAACTAACCTGTTAAATGTGAAGAGAATAAAGGTCTCTATCAGACGACCTTGCAGCATAGCCCCAATTAGTCTTTAGGCTTATCAAGAACGTGTAGGTTCACAAAGATTAGATTTTAACATACTTCCGACGTGTCACTTTCAGTAGGTGTCACTACCAGAAGATATTCTAATATAATTCTCTGCACATATATGTTGATTTACTTAGCATTGAGTGTTATTACTTATGACAAAATTTCCCATTTCAGTGTCTAACGTAGACTAAGGATTTGATAAATACAAATTTGCATGCTTAAAGACCTCCTTCTTCTCCTTAAGTCTGTTTTTTTCGACCGAATAATTGTGCATCTGAGATTATTGTGTTGGTTTAGTGAAGAAGTAAATAGAGCGTGTCTTCATCGGACATCCTCTTTCCTGTCCCTTCCTGCAATATTTCGTCATATAACAGCTTTAAAATACTTATTATTCAGATTGATTTTCCTGTATTTTTCTTTTGGGAGTTTCGCTGAAACAATCTCTTTTGTGTCGTCGTGGAGCTGGTATCTAGTGTTTGATTCAAATCACAGCAAATTTAGCGAAATGAAATTAATAAAAACTAGGAATCCCTAATTCTCCAAAACTAATCAATACACTTCAGAGTTTTGAGGGAAGTCACTTGATAAATTATCAAACTGGTTAAAGGAGTAAAACGAACAGCAAATCGCGTTTAGTAAGGTTTATATTTTACGGAAAAGTGTATTTTTTGTTAAGTATAAATTCATTTAAATGCCCCATTGTTTTGTAGTTTTAACGTTTCTAATAAAATACGTACGAGTGGGAGTGGAAACTACGGTTTATTATTAACATTCTCAAGCCCATTAACTATTATCACGATTATATCAGAAGTCCAGAGTTTCCAAAGTAATATGATGTGAATCAAGACAAACCTGATTTTCGACCAAACCTCATAAACTCTTATACTACTTTAAGTATCTGATAACAATTAAGTCATACTTTGGTCAGAGCAGGCTGCTAACCAGTTGGTAGACATTAATATACGTCAATGTTTATGTCTCTAATATTGGTCGTGAGAAAATATGAACAAGACTGATTCAACAACCACTCACAGCAGACTTTGCATAAGTTGAGACAGTTGACATATAAATGACCTGACATTCAAGAAACAGCCACAAAGAAATGCAAGGTCAACTTTCTGTGAGAAAGAACCAATCAGAAGACTGTGTTGTTTGCTTGATTAAGCTATAATAATGTACATGAAAAATATATAAATACGTGTTGATTTCCTTAATAAAGGATCTGTTGCCTGATTCTTGTCTTTTGTCGTTACAATTGGTGTCGCTGCCAGGATCTAGGCCCAAACTACGGGGTTAGAGCCATCACTTTTCGGCAATCCTGCTGCAGTCATCTGATCCACTCACCGCACAAACACCCATCAGTCTGAATAACCTCAGTTGTCAACGCCAAGTACTCGAAAGCAGACAGCATGCAAATCTTCCCCAACTACTTTGAATTGACTGTCTCGGACACCCTGTGGATTGACCAGTAAACCCACACCAGCCAGTCGCCAGAACATACAGCAAGCAGTTAACAGCTACAGCGCCACGGTTCAACCTGCTAGTCACACCCTCAGGTCACCAGTCTGACGAAAGAGCTTCAACTGCACACCAACCAAGACTATGCCTCCAGATTAACAGCTACACGCCAAGTCACGAAATCTGCAAACAGCTAACAACTGGAAACCGTCTCTCCTCGATACTGCAAATATCACCAACCTCCCCGCGCACCAGCACAGTACACAGGCAATCCATAACGGCAAGATACCAACGTGCGCATCAGGATAACCATGATCTAGCAATTGGCTAGCAGCCTGATCTCATCACAATACAATAAGCGTTAATCGTATAGAAAATAATTAAATTAAATGGCGTGACATAACTGACAGGATTGAGTAGATATCGCAAGTGTCATGAGGAGTAGAAATCTGGTGGTGGGAAAAACGGAAAATAATAAAATTTGAGAGAAGTTTAAAAATGTGGACAAACAAAAATCGCTCATCAAGTGTTGAGACGAATTAAGTCTATTACAGATCTGATGACTGGATAAACTCCTTCTATATTCAGAGTTTAGGATTCAACTTGTGGGTTGCTATAGCTTTTACTGTTTGAAGATATTTGATTCATACTCCTTCGATAAGATTTCTGCGTACTGAATAGGTGACTAAGTTTAGTTCGCGAGTCACCAATGGCTTACGCGGAGTACAGCTCAACTAAAATTCAAAGGGTTTCAAGTTAAGGTCACTGTTATGAGGAGTGAGAATGTAGTATTGGGAAGGCACAAAAACAACAAAATTTTAAAAAAATTAGGATTTACAAAGGAGTATGAATTAAATTTTCAAACTGAGGAAGCTATGGCGATTCACATGTTAAATCTTAAACTCTGTATACAGAAGTCTGTTGAGTCACTGGACCTACAATAGACCTAATTCGTCGTAATTTTTGTTAATCCTAATTTTTTTAAAACAGTTTGATTGCATTAATATATCCTTCCCACTAATACACTTCCATTCCTCATGACACTTAGCTCTCCTTCAATTTTAGTTGGTCTCTACTCAATCTTGTTACTTATTGTACGAAGCTCTTACTGTTGAAAACTGATATCTCAAGCATCCCACTCATTGGTGTTTTTTCACCCTTTTTGGACTTTTTGTTTTTTGAAGTCTGAGATGTTGGTTGGTCGGCCACTTTATTTCTTCCGATTCCTGCTTTCTGTAGTCTCAGTGTGACCAATGAACTTTTAATATATTTTTGTATTATTTTGCACTTATTATCCTACAGGATCAAATTCACTCTAGTATTGTTTCCACTCTGTTGAGTTTAATGGACGGTCTGGATAATCGTGCTGAAGTAGTAGTTATTGGTGCAACCAATAGACCGGATGCTATAGATCCAGCTTTACGACGACCTGGAAGATTTGATCGTGAATTCATATTCACTTTACCAAGTGAAGCCGTCAGACGTCAAATTCTTGGTGTAATAACCTCTAAATGGGATTCTAAACCAGATTCGCTAGTAAGTCTATCTTCTGTTGTTACTATTTTGGTTGAAGATGCTTTTTTGGTGGATATTACTCGAATCAGTCCACATTAATTGTGTACATAATGCTACATATAACTGATAGCAGTATTTGTTATTTCACATGAATTTGCGTATGTGATTATGTGCAACAACTGACGTGATCTTGAAAGTTGAACAATTTCGAATGTATGAATCTAGAGGCAATTGTTCTACCTTTTGACATAACTGAAATCTGAAGCTTCGTTCGGTTGCACTATTGTCTTTGACGACGTAAACCTGAGATTGCTAGAAAGGTTTAGTTTACAGATGGGATTTCTTAAAAAGAATTACTTAACTTCCAGATAAATCTCTTCAAAAGCAAGCATTTCTTTGAGAATCGATAACAGCTAATTAGAGACTTGCATATTTATATTTCATTGCATTTCAAAAATGTTAAAATATTTGTCAATTTATACTATATACACTATTCTATTCAGACATCTAATCTAATAGAATGGTCAATGGTTTCCAACTTTTGTTAATCTTTTATACAACCTGATCATGATCCAATATTATGGGTGCTTAGTTGTCACTCAATCCTGCTTAACTGATCTAACTGATCACATATCATTATAATTTCAGGAAATTTGTTTTGAAGCCTTTGGGGTGTTAGGTGAGTGTTCAGTTATTAAGTGAAGTTGGTGCTCTCTACTGTTAAATAGTTCCAAAGTGAGAGGAAATGACTGCTCAGTATACTTTTGTCCTAAATGTTTCTGTAACTGATGTCAGAAAAATCTCTGGTGTATTCCATGTTACGTCAAAGTTCATAAATAAAGTATACTGCTCCCTTTTTACCCATAGAAAAGTAGTCTCTGCAGCTAACACTGCTTAAAATAACACAGCGTGTCAAAACTCATTTGTCCGACATACTTTAGTAAATGTAATTCATCTGGTGTAAACTGATGGTTTCGGTGTTAACATTTGAATATATCCTCCATAAGACTTCACTCCAATACCATAGTCATTGAAATAAAAAAAACGCAAGGGAATGAAAAAGTAACACAGAAACGGCAATCGAAGGTCTTTTACTACCTTGGTAGATTGAAATATTGTGTAGATAAATTACGGAGGAAAAAATTTCTTCATGAGAAATGCCGCTGACTAATAGTGTGACGTGGCTAGAAACCGTCTACTAAATACTACCTATCCATAAACGTTTATATATTTGATCAAATTGGTACACCATAACCCTGTCATACCTGCCTTCTGGAAAGCGTCTCAGTGTCATATGAATAACCATGCTTAGTCTCTACTAAGGTGAGAATTTTAGAATAGTTTCACTACTTTCACTGTGCTACTGAATGTCCCAACAGTAATAAAAATCATTTGTGTATTGTTTTCAATGAAAATGCAGAATTTTTATGGAAAGTAGCAACAATAAAAGATAATTTAACCTGCGAACATTATAAATTTATGGTGGTATGGTATCAATTAGAACGTTGAAACTTGCTTAGTTAAATGTTGTTTCATAACTTGAGAAGACTAAACTAATTAAATAAACATGCTATCAGCAGTTCTTTCATATCACTTCAAATGATTTGGACAAAAGAACAGATTGAGCTAGAAGAGCTATGAAAGTCTCATTGGTCCAATCCGTCTCACTTCGAAAAGGATTCCGAAAAAGAAAGGAAGAGTATGAAGGAATAATACGAAACATAAGTATGTATGGAAGAAGTGGAAACTAGTTAGAGACTGCAGGCATGGTCAGAACTTCACTGATGATAAAGAGAAAATTCATTTTCACTATCGTGAATAATTTTATATCATATCACTGAAAGACCTTCAGCAACTGATTTTTAATATTACTAAGGATGTAAACAGGCCACCTGACTTTCCCTATATTGCTTCAGTCAGCAATCGATTAACATATGTTGGTGTGATGTTCTGGTCTAAATAACAATATTTTCAACCATTTGACTTAACTTTAGGTGAATAATTTTACGAAGATGCTCAATTTGAAAGGCAGATTTCATTTTTACCATACGTTCTGCTTTTAGCAACTATGTCTCATAACAGTGAAGTCAGTTGAAATGGAATATATCTAACCGGTGGTAGGGACTCCATGACCTGGAAGATGCTGAGATTTCTTCAAAAATTAGTATATTAGGAACTGGTAATGTTTCCCGGAAATATTAAGTTATGGCTCTCACACATACATGCCAAATTTGGCGCATAAGCTAGTCGAGGAAGTGCTATGGTGTGTAATATAGTTACTGTTTTCTTAAAGTTTTTTTTGATTCACTCTCATATGAATTATGTATTTCCGTTTCATCTTCTTTCTTCTCTTTCTGTAAATAGTTACTAGATCAGATTGCTGCAACGACTACTAATTTTTCTGGTGCTGATTTAAAAGCCTTGACAACAGAAGCATGTCTATGCTGTTTACGTCGATGTTATCCACAAGTTTATAAAAGTCATGTTAAACTAGCTTTGGAATATAAATATTTAGTGGTAAATGTTTTGCTATATGTAATAAAAGAATATCACAGTTTTATTTCGTATCATTTTTGTCTCGTATTTTGATTTCTTAATGTTAGTTCATTTTTTGCATATACCTGTTATATAATACATGTCTGTTACAACAGGGGTGAAATTGTAATTATAGTGTTTTATTATTATTATTGTTCCCTTCAGTTCCGACTGGAACATAGGGCTTCAATAGCACATCTCCACTTTGTCCTATTCTCTGATTTCCTCTTAATTTGGCCCCACGATTACCCGTAGTCTGTCATCCCCTCCTTTTATTATCTCCTCCATGTCATCCTCGGAGGCCTACTCGTCGTTTCCCATTCGGGTTCCACTCGAGGGGGCTGGCACACTATGTCATTCAACGGTCACCTCAGCGCGTTTCCGATCCATCTTCATTTTCTTGGGGATATTTGTTGAGCAGTAGGTTTTTGATTACTTTGTCCTCAGATTTTCTTGTTGCTAATTCTTCTTGGCCATTTGATCTTCAATACGGAGCCAGCGAAGGCAGCTGTCGATAAAAGTCTGCGACCTGCTGCAAATGCTTTTTGTGACGCGCCACGTTTTTGCATAACGTCTGATAATAATGTCAAAAAACCACACCTATAATATATATTCTAAGTGTATTCTATAGTGTATACTGTTCAACTTGAAACTTTGTAAATATACTGAAGGTCGAGGATTGCATCGTACAATATGCATTTTGTGACATTGTTTTTATGAGTTGAAAGCGTCGACCACTGAAACAAAAGTATATCGATTGTACTGATTGATTGAAAATCATTAGGACCAAACATAATATCCCCAGAAACATTGAAAACAAATCCAGAGACCTCTATGGATATGCTCACGCCACTATCACAGAAGGTTTGGAAGGAAGGAAAGGTACCTACCGGTCGGAAGAAAGACTATCGTGTCAAACTACCAAAGATAGGAAACTTAAGTCTTTACAACAACTGGGGAAGAATCATAATGTTGTCCACTTCAAGAAAATCATTAAGCCGCATCATCATGGGAAGACTGAAGAACGATCTGGATGCAAAACTCCTCCCGGGACAAGCTGGATTCAAGAAAAGTGAGCGATGTGCTGAAGCGCGACGCATTGTCATCGAACATAGGACAGAATTACATTCAATTACTTATTTTCCCCAACTTCAAGAGGCATCGATCGTGAAGTAATTTATAACTGCTACAACACTACTGAGTGCCCCAAACATTCATAAAACCCACGCAACAGCTGTATGATGATATCTCATGCAAAGTGATTCACTACGGAGAGGTCATTACAGCCTTTGTAGTGAAGACAAGTGAGACAAGGTTGCTTACTATTATCGATAATATTCCTGGTTGTGATGGGCTGGATTATGCTGCAAACTGTGGTGAGTGGGAACACAGGAGTACGTTGGCCCAGCAAGAAGACTCTAAGAGACCCGAACTTGTTGGATAATTTATGTCTAGTATCACAAGCTCTAAGATTTACTGGCAAAAATCAGCAGGTTGGTGGAAGAATCTGGAAGTAAAGACTGGGCTTCAGGTGAACATAGAGAAAAGGGAAACAATGAAGATACTTAACCAACAACAACAAGCACTAATCGCCGCCGTCAGGAGAAGTCACCTCTTTCACTTATTGAGGCAGTATCGCTGCAACTATAAGAGGATTTCAAAGCTAGCCAGTGTCGGAGAAGTAAGATAGATCTTCATCAATCTGAAATCAGGATGAAAATCTACAGTACTCGGGATAAAGAAAAAGATCCGGTTCCTCAACACTTATGTCAAATCAGTTCTTTGTCGTTCAGAGACTTGGCATGTTACCGACAGCATTTCGAACAGGCCTCAAACTTTTATCAACTATCGCCTTCGTTCCATACTAAAGATCAAATAGCCAGAATGGATTAGCAACAAGGAACTCTGGTAGCGAATCAACCAACACAATAGGTATGGGTCATTGCCAACTGTATGGAATTACAAACGGTCGCTGAGTATTTTAAATAGCCTAATTTTAAAGAATCTGTTGTATGCTAGTTTACACTGTCTCATTCAGGGATGGTTTTCAGTGTATCATAAAATCACTACATTAAATATCAATGCATTCTTAGCAGAAAGTCATCAGATGTAATATTACAGCTAAATAAATAGTATATAAACGTGGTTTGAAAGGATAATAGTCTTATTTTTTCTAAAGGGAAAGATCTATTCACGGCGGTAGCAAAATACAGACTATTTTTAAATTGTGTTGAAGTAAAATTATACTTCTTAGAATGCGCACAAATCAATAAAGTTTCTACAGTGAGCTTTCTCAATGCTTACAGTTTACGGAGCTGTAGTGCATTCGTCTAGAGACCCAACTTTTAGTTAATGGGTTTTAAATTGGGACTACACTTTACACACTGATGCCTAAGTACCGAAATAGTATTAATAAGACTCTAACAACACATACTGGTCGTCAGTGAAATCCAAAGTTTATGGTGACAGTTACACATAACGGAGAACATTAGTCAGGTGGTAGAAGGTAAAATGAAATCAAATGACTATGTTAAATGACGCAGCATATTTAGCAAGAATGAGGAGATGTCAACGGAAATTGCAAAATAGTCAAGTTCAGTGTCCTAAGGTATAGAAATTTGGTAGTGGGAGGATAGAAAAATAATAAAGTTAAAAAAGTTAAGATATTAGGATTTATAAATAAATATTAATCAGATTTCTTCAAACAGGAGCCATAGCAATCCACATGTTAAATCTTGAATTTTGTATATAAAGAAGTGTCTTGAGTCTCTGGACCTACATTGGACCTAATTTGTCTCCACATCTGATACGTAGTTTTTTGACTTTTGTAAATTTTGTTATTTTTTCCCTTCCCAACACTACATTTCTACTCCTCATAACTCTTCAGTTGACCCTTCATTTGAGGTCTGCTCAATCTTGCCAATTATATTACGTCACTCAATTTACTTATTTGCTTTTATTGTAGTTTCTAACTGACTAAAGTTTTCTGTACTATATAACTGTTATCGAAATCTTTCTATTTTAGTGACGTGCATTGGTCGTTACCTAAAATATAGATAAATGCTTTCAAACCCAGAAGCAATTTAATTTCGTCACCTATTTTTAATATCCCGTTTGTCATTGAGCGATTATCTTCCTAATTGTTATGTTTGCTTCCTCTAGGTCTCACACTGTGATTGGTTTGAAGCTTTGCAAATTGTTCGTGCATCAAGTGAACGTTCAGATGCTGATGCAGCAGCATCATGTTTAACACCATCTGCAAACGCTTTGGCTGCTACTCTCCGTACACCTTTATCACCTAATCTAGCTAAACTGTTAATACGTAATGTTGACATAATCGTGAATTATTTAAGCAGAGCTCTATTTGACCCTAGAAAACAAATCAATCCCACTGATCATTTTAAGTCATCACGATACTCAGCAAATGATATTTCATCCTGTATTTTCAAATCAAAATTATTCATAAATGGAAATGTATCAGATATTATTATGAATGCTGTATGGCATAAATTAGAGACGTTACAAGTAAGTTTGTGAATTCTACATAGTCGTCAGATTTGTAAAGATTTATTTGTTATGAGTTGATGAACTATTTAAACCTGTGAAACAATGATCAACTATTTCGTCTTAGCCTGCCATTTACTAGTTACTTTTCAATTGTATTTTAATGAGACTCAAGGGTCCTGGGTTGAATCTCTTATTCAGTCATGACTACGCATTGATGAAGATCACCTTGTCCTGAACTAAACACTTGAGCAGGTCTCCGTGTTATTCATCAACAGCTTAACCAATATCTATTCGTAATAATGTCCAACTTTCCTGGAATAATTTGAGCGCCGAGTCAGATTGATTCATTATAATAATGAATGTCCAACTTTGTATGTGTGTATACCTTGATTGTACTTATTATTTTATTTAGTGTCTTGTCAACTTTCCTTTATTCTGCTATGCATCGTAAGGAACCGTCAATTTACTCGTAAAGAAAATGCATTAAAGAATTTGATGAATGTCTAAAGTAAATAAACAATTTCTTCTCGTACTCTTTACAGGTGGTAATTTGCTATATTAGGTTATTTAGTGTTGATGACTTATTGTGGTGTAAAAATTCAAACTAGTAGTTTAAAAATAAATAGTTTAACTACCAGTTTTTGTTATGTCGAAAACCTCATCCTGGAAGCTTATATATATCTGTACTTAGGAAATATATAAGTCGGAGGATTTTTAGATTGATTTATTGTCGTAGTTGGCCCACTCTTGCTCTCTTTTCAACCTACTTCAAGTCTCGTGATTACTGACGTTCTGTAGGATGGTTAATGTGTGAATAGGAGGAATGCTAATTTGTAACACTCAGCGCAACCTAGTTGTCGGTAGTCCACTCGAAACGTCATCAGTTAATATCACTGTACCACACTGTGTGATTTATCAAAATAAAATCTTATCCTTAATGGAGAGTACTAGTTCCACTGTTAAAGTGTCTATGGTTATTAAGTATTTTCTGTATTTTAGTTACTTTGTTCTTTGCCATCTTTTTTTTAATAAAGGTGTTTACAATAAATTTGGCCAATTTATTTGCTTTTCCTGCAAGTATTGGTATGTGCCCTGAAGCAGCAGTTGCTCAAATCATCTCTTCCATTCGACACGCTTTGAACAATTCATCAACATTATCCTTTCGTAATAATTCTCAAATGAATGGAGTGGTTGTATACTTGCCTTCAGTTGACAGTCTTTTCAAAAGTATCCCACAATTAACTGGCCGCTACCTTATAGATCGTTTGAATGCTCTAGTCGATGAAGTCAATTGTGAATTGAATTATATTCCATCAGCTCTAATTACCTCAGAATATGATGGTGCTTCATATGATAATGATAATACTAGTCGGAGTGATGTTGATAATCGTAAACTTTCTTATGCTGCTGTAAAAAATCCACGTCGAATTGTTATTATTGGCACATGTAAACATCAAAATTATAAATCCGTTCCACCAAGAATTGTTACTCCTAATATTGAAAAACGTATTCCATCAGTGCGACAACCTAATCTTAGTCCTAACAGCACAAACACACTTCGTGAGAACTGTGTCACATTGTTCAATACACCGACTGAAAAATTGCAAGGTATTTTATGTGTAATTTGGTTTCCCTTAGTTTTCTCAAAAGTTTTATTTCCCTAATTTTATAAAATTTATACTGGTATCGTTTAAAATTTCTGCACTTGTATAGTAACTATGTGTCGATGAAATGTTTACGTTCTTGTAGTAACGAATAATGGGTACACAGTTTTTCAAGCTTGCCAAATGATTGATATCAGTTAGGGAACTAGGGAGTACTGGAGAGCCATTTCGTCCTAGTTTTGGACTCATTAGCCGTACGCACCCACCGCCAGGGTTCGAACACAGGGCCTTCCGGTTATAGGGCAAGTTCTTAGACCATTCAGCCATTGGGACCCGACTCAGTGGTTCATGAATTCTAACTTTTGTAACTGGTATCAATCCGTGAGCAAACTTGAAAAAAAATCAAATCCTTTCAAACTAACTTTCGAAAATTAACCTAGTGCTCTCTAGTAACTGGCTACATGACGAAGTTGCCTGGTGTTCTGGTGAGAGGTCCTGGCGAGTGGGGTCCTTCCGCTCGAGAGTGAGGACGAATACTCACCGATGACACTGGCTGGTAGTCGCGAATTTATAGAAGTTGGAATTTGTGGGCTGACCATTGAGTTGAGTCTCGTTGGCTGAATGGTCTCTAATTGATAATAATCCATGGTCAGATTTGAAAAACAAATCAACTCCATACAAACTTATTCTTGAAAATTACACAGTTTTCTTCCTAAATATGTGATAATAGTTCTTCGAATCAGGAAATTCATGAGAAGTGGGTTGATTGTCAGGTAATCTTTTTGAAGGATCCAAATTAATCATGTAATCATATGAAATAGATTCGCTCTCTACGGTTTTATGTCTTTTGAGAATGATTTCACCTAATACATTTTGTTAATATATTTAGTGTAATTAATTCGTTTTGGTTGTGCTGAACTATTATCACAGTTGGGTGTCTTTACATACAAAGGGAAACGTGATGCGCTCATTGAGCCGCAGAATCCACAACATTTGCGGCCCTGATACCATGGAAGCAAGCTGGAACACTTAATAGGATTCTCATTGAAAATGGCTACTCTGAACACTTCATCACAAAATCCATGGAGCCTACATCACTAAAATGGTACACCCCTCCCCCTCAAAAAGATTATTTATCTAAATCTGCAATTTATTGGAGACTCGTGTGTAGAATTACTAAAAAACCACCTGTCGCGTTCATTGAAGAAAGCGCGCCTTGTAGCCAAACTTCAACTCTTTTTCTATGCAAAACGAATAATTCGTAAGAGCGTGAAGGATAAGCTACCACTGTTGGCCACATCATTGTTATATGTGTCATTTGACTAGCACATGTGGAACTAGGTATATTGACCGTACTCAGCGTTTGATATCCAAGCATATCATCGAACACTTACTACCATGATTTTATAAAGGATAGAAAAAGATCTCCCCATAGCTGTATTCGGGAACACCTGATCGATTCTGGACATTGAACAAACTCTCAAATCATCTTCAGACTTATCTACAGACTACGTGGAAATCTGGCGTAAGAAGTACTAATCAAAATTTTTCCAACTACAGAAGCAATCGCAATCTACATGTTAAATCCTGAATTCTGTCGCCATTTGAGTTGTTGAGTCAAACCAGTGTGGATATGAGTTCATTTTGTTACTGATGGTACTGAGTAGTTATCGCGTAACACCATAAATCTATGTAAATTGGTAAACATGCGTTATAGAGTATTAGAGTAATGGCAGAATTATACTGTACTGGCTACGAAACCTGATAGTTTTCTGTTCGACACCACTTCACCTTGTGTCGAGTTTGTCCATGCGATGATACACTGTTAATATTGTGGTTAGTGCTCACTGGTTTAATTACTCGATTTCTTAGAATTTTAAACTTTCACTGCCTGTGCCTCAACCTAAACAATAACACAGTTTAACACTGAAATAATTATAAACAATAAATCGTGCTCGAGGCGGTATCACTGTGTATGTTACATCATCTAAACATAAATATCATATAATTCAAGTGTGTTAGTGTCCAAAATTCTACTCCTATATTAACTTAGTTTTATAAGCTTTCATAGTATGTAGGCTATAAACCAATTGTTATGAAAAGCAGATGGCCGGCACTGTGTAATTATTATGCTAGATTTAATGTTAATGTCCGAAATTTCAAAAGTTATTGATTGTTCAATTTTTTCCCTTCCATTCAGAAGGTAAATGCCAGTTAGTCAATGGAATAAATCTGTCAGATCGATCGCCAAGCTCACCGTCGTCAATTCATTCAAGATATTCACCTAAGTTTAGTTTACCTACGCTTCGTACTGGGAATACTGTTAGTGTTAATGAACCAGCTATAAAGTATTCATATGATCGCGATGCAGAGAATATTAAACTTCAAATCAATATTAATTTATCTGAATGTCGTAAATCTTCAAAGACATCAAATGTTCATCATTCACCTTTAGTTAATTCAGATTTGAATCCTTGTGAAAGTAACACAGATAACATTCATAATAATTCGTTAAATGTTGATCTTAGTGATGACTGTCAAAAGACTTTAGACTCTCCAAATTCTAATAATTCCTTCTATGTTAATCATATGTTAAATAAAATATTTGATATCAATCATACGGAATTCATAAATTTAGAACCACCGAATAGAGATGAACGACTAGCATTCTTTACTCCTGTTTTAATTACTTGGCCACAGTTAACACATACGCAGTTATTGGATATACGAGATAAATCTGCACAGCCACATGGTACATCTATGTAAGTCCTTGTTTAAGTGAAGTATATTACTCTGACTACTGTTTCATGTGTCTGATCTTGTACAATATAATATATTACTATTTCTACAGGTCCTAGATTTTGCCTGGTATAGACATGACTAAGAGAACCATTGGAAACAACTGAGTAGTGACCAGTTTCTTGTTTCAATCTCTACACAAGAGCTCATCCAAAACGGGTAACTTCACTATTGACCCATCGAGTCAGAATGTAGTGGCTCACACCTATTAAATTTTGCCTGTGTGTATCATAGTACCAGCCCTATCGATGTACAACTGCACCAATGTGATATTTGGTCGGCTTTATCAGTTATAGTCTCTTATTTGTACTAATTCATCCAGAAGTTAGTTAATGATGCAAAGCTGAGTAATATTAACTCGGTGGGTTTGTTAAACTTTGTCTGATTTCAGGATTGATTTCTGTTTCTTAGAGCTCTAGTTTCATAAAATGTGTTCATTAAGCTTGGAGTGATGTTCATCTCCAGTTGATACTAGGTTGAAAATCACTGAAATCGAGTGATAGTAGCATATTTCTCATAACAGTTTTAGACTTTCCAGTCATGCTAACTTATAAACTCATATTCGATCGAGACTTAAACTTCTATCACATACTACTTGGACTAAATATTAGTGACTGTATCATCGGTTTATTTTAAAACATCTTGATATTCTGTTACATTTTTTAGGAAATTTTCCCAAGTTGACTATTTTCAAATTTTTGTGATCCGACTGTCCTAGGTTGAATGTCTCATAAGATTATGAATGCTTTTATTATTTATTATTGTTCCCTTGGGTTCCAAGTGGGACATAGGGCTTCAACTGAACGTCTCCACTTGCTTCTGTCTTCTGCCGTACTTTTCATCTGCATCCATGTTAGTCCATACTGTTTCAACTCCTCTTCACACGATCTCTTCCATGTCACCCTTGAACGTCCCACTCGCCGCTTCCCTTTCCACTCGAGGGCCTGACGCGCGATGTCACCCAGCGGAAAACAAAATAAGTGGTTTTTCAAAGGTTCTTTAAGTTTAGTTGTTTTCATCCGTCACACTTCCGCCAGCACTCACACAACTACCCAGATACACAAACTCATCAACAACTTCAAGCGGTTAATCAGCAAGAGTGAGTGTAGTTACAAGTTCCTGCCAATCTTGTAACAGTACTTTGCACTTAGACGGCGCAAATCTCATACCATACTTACAGACACTGATCGCCAACTGATCAAGTTTCGATTTGGGTAGACTGAATGCTATTGCACAGTAAGACGATATCGTCTGCATACTCGAGGTCGGAGAGTCTCTCTCCAGGGAGCGTATCCACACTACCTTCATGCACATCCTTAAGAGCTGACTCCAGAATGTCATCGATGGCAAAGTTAAAGAGAAATGGGGAGATCAGGCAACCCTTTCTAACTCCACAGGTGGTTGGGAACAGTGATGAGGTGTTTCTGCGTAGAGCTTTCAGGATTTTCACAGGCTTCTCAAGTACCCGGTCAGCAACGTGTCGTGGTGGTCGTGCTTGAATATCTCAGTGAACCAACAAACTGAACTGGCAGAGACTCATGTTCCTGCGGGTCCTACCATGTCAAGAAGGTTGTTTGGGTAGGAGTTAAACCATGGAGTACATGGGCTCCATAATTCAATCGGATCGAATGGCGTATGAACTTGTATTGGTCACTGGCAACCATGGGGACGTAGCTCGTGATGCTGCCCCGCTGCCTTGCGCACTAGATTCCAAGTGAAACGCTCCGGGGGTGGTCTCTTAACACAATCAGTGGAATGCAACAACAAACTGTCAATAAAAATTATTGCACGCTCTCAACAATGCTGTCAAACAATGATCATATTCCAAGTAACGGATCTCTTTCCATCCTTACTTTTATTCTTATACGTAGAGTTTTAGTTTTGCTATCCTTGGCGTTTTCACTTTATCGTGTATAATCAGAGTTGAGTGTAACGTATGACAATAAGAGCGTCACTATCAACTAAATTGTAAATTTATATTTCATAGATTTTTTCCATACGTATACCTTTTTATATATCGTTTACAATTGTTCACTTTCCCTTTCTTAACTGAACTGAGCTGAAGTTTGAACGTTGAACTTTGCACAAAGGTGTATTAATTCGAGTTGCTGCAACTCATAAAACACACGAAAAAGGCAAGGTAAAAAAGAAAAAATCCCTACTTAGAAAACAGAAAGATTAAGTGAAGAAATATTTACTTTTCAATTAGATCCTCATCTCTGGCTCTACTTTAATGTATATAGCATTTTTTTACAATACACAACAGTTTACCAATCAAGTGGCGATATGTTTGTTAACAGTAAATAGTCAGTGTTAAAATGTCAATGGGTTGATAATTAATGGAGAAAATCAATACACATTTAAAAGATAGAAATGGCTAGAATAAATTAATTTAATTTTACAAAGATAACGCGTAAATAAAGATGAAATAGTCAGAAAAAAAACTGCAGCAATAGGAATCCACCTGAATAAGCCAAGCCTATGTGTTCAGAAAAAAATTTGTACAGCCACTTCCCTTACCTTGGCCATCGTTACATGAATGTATAAACCGGACTACTTCGACCCCGTCCCCCTAAACCTTTAAAAATTATAATTGTCCAAATTATTTTATTTTTCTGACCACTTCATCTTTAATTGCGTATTATCCTTGTAAAATTAATTTATTGTAACCATTCCTACCTTTTAAATGTGCATTGATTTTCTTTGTTAATTATCAACCCATAGCCACTTTGACACTGACTATTTACTGTTAACAAACATATCGCCACTTGAATGGTAAACTATTGTGTATTGTAAAAAAATGCTATATATATTAGAGTAGAGCCAGAGATGAGGATCTAATTGAAAAGTGAAAAAGAAACGCAAAGAAACTTTTTTTCCTTCACGTTCCTAGTGGAACATAGGGCTTCAAGCTAGTGGCTTGAAGTTTCTGTAGCAGTGTTTATTTTTACAGGATGGGTTTGCTAGCCTCATGCTCATGCCCAACCTTCCCTCTTTACCAGAATTATTTCTGGCTTAGCGAGGTAAAGGAGTGCGTCGGCCGGGGATCGAACCCCAGACCATGTGCATGGTTGGCGAGCGTCCTAACCGCTGTGCCATCGGCGCACCAAAGAAACTTTAATAAATGAAAATGTATGGGACGAAAAAATGGCTAAACGTAAAATACTGAAGATTCAGTGGATCTAGGAGGTCACAAAGAGTCTATTCATCTGAGCCGTTGAGAATGATTTTTGGTCATAGAACTATCATTCTCTAGTCACTGTTTCTTAGCGTGTCGAGGACTCCAACCAAGACAGTCTACATGGCTCAAACTAACTGTCAAAGACTTCGTGGGTTGATGCCGTGTGTCGGTTTGACCACCTCTAACTTCTTTTTTAAATGGGGTTCGAATGTGTGACACCTTGAGACAATACGTTTTATGTTTAATTCCCACAATGGGAAACAAATCTTTAAGGTTTTAATATACTGCTGTTCGTGTAGCAGTATAACTTTATTTGCTTTCGCTAAGCAAAAAGCATATATATTTATCTGTCCACTTTCCCCATTTTCTAAGACCTAGTCCACCTCCTGCTGTTGAAAATGAACAAAATTCGAGAAAAAACACTCAACAGGTTAATTTCACCCCAGAAGAACTAGCCATTATAGAATCTAGAGAAACACAATTATTTCGTCGTCTTAGACAAGTACTACGCCGTGTAGTTGCACATTTGGCCAGTTTCCGACGATTTGCTGTGTTCACTAGACCAGTTCAACTGGAAGAAGCACCAGATTATTATGATGTTATAAAGCAACCAATGGATTTGGGTGTTATACGTGATAAAATTGATACACATCAATATAATAATGTGAACGATTTCATGAAGGTAAATATTTTACTTGTAATTCATGTCGTTACACTATTGTTGTTATTATTCATTATGTGTCCAAATAATTAAATATTGTTCCTGCTGCACTGCTCATGTTAAAGGTGGAACACTCGTTTGCCTATCAGTTTCCCAGTGTGCTGTTCAGCAGTGCACCTTGTGTAACAGAGAAAGAAAAGACAAGTTGTGAAATCATATAACCCCTTGACCATAATTATTTTTATTGTTTAGCTTATGTTTGTCGTAATCACAACGTTGCCTATTTCTAGGTGAGATGTTTTTTCCAACGAGAAAGGTAAACCAGTTGATGAGGTTTATAAGCCTTGATCGATTAAACCAAACGAAACATGCCTGGTGCAAATGGAGCTGTTACCAATTCCATTTTTTTTACAATAACTGGATCTAGCAATATAACAGAAAATCCTGATGATTTCTTTATATTACTTTACGGTAGTTCACATCAAACGTTGACGTACGTGAAGTATTATTCATTTCCTGGTGCTTAGTAATGTTTTCTTATTTGGAACTCCACATGACTGTACCCATCTCCAGGTGACTGTTGATGGTCACGCTGAAATTCATGTCCATCATTTGTCATTAACAATACTAGAGCGTTCTCGGCAAAATAAAAAAGGATGATTATATTTAGTTTTACAAACCTTTAATGCAATGTCGAACTATATTCACCTTTTATCAATCAGTTCCTTAGCTTGTAATTAATTAATTAACTGCTTCTCTGATTTTTATTTACCTATTCGATTTTGTATTCTTAGGACGTCGAATTAATATATCGTAATGCTCTTGAATACAATCCACCAAATATTCCTCGTAGTCGAGATATTCGCTCTAGGGCTTCAGAATTTTGGGATGAAGCATGTATTCGTGTTGAAGAAGAACTTCAACCACCTGATCTCAATGAACTGTGTGAAGAAGTAAATGAATCTGGAGTTTATTATCTATTTTATATTCTGGTTGCTTTTTTATGTTGAATGTATAAGATTAAAGGGTTGTATGTAATCCGTAGAAAGCTATTCATCACAATTGCTTGCGTATTGTTAAGAAGGCAGCAATTTCCGCAAGAATTTTGACGCATGCTAGTGCTAGTGTGAACTGTGCATCGAATTGAGCCCCCTAATAATTTCACTCAGTCATAAAAATTCATAGTTATCTCATTTCTCCTAGTTGTTTGCCGATTAACTTAAGTGAATATGAAAACGTTTAAGTAATACAGACTCGTAGCGTTACTTGCATGGTATGGAAGCATTACATGGACGATGTGTAGTTGGTCTAAAATATAAATAGGAAGGTACAGACTATCCGGTTTCATCCTTGGGATCTTTAGTTAGAGATTATATGTGAATGTGGCTGAACATCATTCACAACTATATAAGTCACTTCACACCTTGTTATCTTTGAGATTATGACAGTTTTCAGCCATTTTTTTCAACGGTTCTCTTTCCCGTACATGCTTCATGCATTGTCGTTACATTGTATTTCTTGTAAATTCTTTTATGTGTGTTTGTGTGAAGTGTGGAAATTTGATACAGTGCATTTTAATTCATCTTCTTTGTCTTGCTTCCCAACCAACAATGTGTGCTATGAATGTTTACTCGCTTTTTGCGTCAGTGGTAGTCGTTAGAAAATTAAGTTGAGAATGAAATGAGTGATAAAAGCACACATACTTCCAAAGAAAAATGAAATTACTAAATGTTGGTGTGACCCATATAAGGAGTTCCAGATGGCATGACTTGGAATTGGGTTCAGTAACAAACCCTACTCCTGTTAATATTTCTTCTTTCTTTATTATCTTTTCATCTTCTACTCGTAGAATATTCCATCATAATAATATTTCTTTCTTTGTATGAAAGGAGGACACAATGAGGATATCTTTCGCGGGCTAGGTTAGATACATGAGTGGTACCTTCGAGTCCATTTAGACATTCTGACTTCAGTTGTAGTGGTACTAAATTTAAAAAAGGGAGGAAAATTGATTAGTAGTCACTTAGACCGTCTGGTGTACTCGTGCTTTAATTTCTTATTTTATCTTCAGCCTTCACACTTGTTAGACAGAAATTGTGATCTTAATTTTTTTTAAATTGACACCATAGATAATATCACCTAATAGACTGTTAACGAAAACTTAACTAATTTCAACACCAGTCGCCATAACAAAAATGACCACCGGCACACAAAACAAGAAAGTTGGTGAACGGTTGACAATAGAGATTTTTCCATCACAAACATCAGTCAGAACACCTGACAGCATTGCTAGAGTACGGGTTTTCACCGACATTGACACATTGTTAGACAAAGAGATTTAGCAGAGCAGTTCCCTCTGTCCTTCCTTATGGTTGTGTAACGCGGTCATTGAAAATCAGTTTGTCATTCCCTTTGGAAAGGAAAAAATTATGATAGTTGAGATGGCATCTTCATCGGTAAACGCTGAGAATCAAACAGTCTTTATTTACAAATTTTCAAGGTTGATGATCAAACTGCATTTAGTTAAACTGGTCAAAATGTGACAAATTATACAGTGAGTGATAGTATTTCCACTAGCACCAATAGTCTAGTGCTCACTGTTTCGAAAGATCGACTATAATCCACTAGGCTCACTATTAAGCAAATATAGTATATTTTGTGTTATAGGTTGTTCCTGTTGTTGTTTTGTTTTCATTTGTGAAGACCATTTTGAGTAAAATTCATTCATCATGTATTTCAAATGCACTGTTTTAAACTGGCGTGTATTTACTCTAAAATATCAGGCTAATCTTGCACGTGCAGCACGTATGTCATCAATAAGCAACCAGAAAAACAAGGAAACAGAACCTCATTCTGCCATCGAAACTAATGAGAAGTCGCAAAAGAATATCACAAAACAACCATTACCTCTTCCACAAGGTGATCGTTATAGTCGAAGATTACATGTAAGTAAAAACAATTAAATTAGATCATAACTGTACTGTAATCAATCTATTTTTCACCTAAACTTTCGAGAGCAAATTTGTGCACTACCCTTTGTTCCTATTAAAGTTTGAAAATGGAAACTGATAGTTAGATTAGTGTTTGTAGCGTGTACTACTGACAAAGCTGTGGAAGTAGTATATTGTGTATTACATCATATTTGAAGATGTTGAATAGCGAGACAACGGATAGGTCGTTAAGATGATAACTGAGAGATCCTTGTCAAACTATAAAAAGTGTGAAAGGTAGATGAAAGAAGCACGAAACAAAGAGCATGTGCAAATTGAGATTTCAATGTAAGATTTCCGTTTTTCGACATAACGGTGCATCAATTCTCTGACAAACAGTTCCAGTACCATTTACTATCGTGTTCCGTTGTTACACTTTCATGGATGTATTTCAATGCACCCACTTGTAGACTTTTTAATTTATGTCCATAATGAGATCGTTGGGTAGGGAGGGAAAGTCAGTCGATGAGGTTGTGAAGCTACATCGATTGAGATGACTAAGACATGTGTTACATATGCCAAGTCATCGCCTTCCTCGATTGATAATGTTAGCCAACATGGAATCACCTTGCAAAAGAGTTAGTGATTGTTAAAAAAAAATTTGGAATCTGTCTAGGAAATCTTCGATAGCGAGTTTGGGCGAAGTCGGGAGGTTTGGACTGTGTGGCTGGGTTCTTCGGCACGGTAAAAACCAAAAGACTGAAGACACTTGATGATATGGCTCGAAGTCTTTCTCAATGGCTCAGATGCATGTGTTATCTGTGTTCGCCATATCCATTAAACACTATTGTTTTTCTGTGTTACTGTTCCTTCTTCGTCGTCACATTTCTGCTTATTATCGTTCTTTCGATTTTTTTGTGTCTTTCGTCTTCATTTGGGTGTTATATGGTGTGTGATAACTTAGACTGCTGCACTTCTATGCAAATTTCTATGTTGAAGCCATTTAGTTAGTCACCTCCATAATTAAATTAAAGCTGGCAGTTTGAAGTTGAACAAAATAATAAGAATATAAGCTACTCTGATGTTCAATGGTTCTCCTTTGACTTTTTTATTCAGGAGATAATATTCTCTTGATACTCTTACACACACTGTCTCACTGACTTTCTTGTCGAGCAATACCTACTTCTTGTTACAGCAACTTGAAGTTAAAATGATCAGTTTATAGCATAATTCTGTATTGGTTTAAAAAGTATTTATGAGTAGAGAATGATATATATATCCATATTATATGTGTCTTTGTTTGACAGTCTGATCTTGGTGACATGTATCCATATAATATGTGTGTTTTCTTTGACAGTCTGATATATTTTGCTATGTATATATGGATCGATATTCCATTATAATTAGCCAATCATGTTAAGACTGTCTATTGATTTGTTCATTTTGAATATTCGCTCACACACTTGTTCGGACATTTTCATATTTTGCTCTCACACACTTGTGTGACATTGATTCTCCTTGTGTTTGGAAAATAGAAGTATCATCGCAAACCTAGTGGTCTTCTGATTTCCGTCTTTCTTGCGTCAGGACTAGTAAATCCTCGACCAGTACATAACAGAGGAAGATTTGTCTTTCCATAAATACCACTCACTCAACTAGTGCTGATCATTTTTAATAGTTCTTCACTGTCAATTATTTTCCGGCAATAGCAATACAAATGTTATGAAATACGTGTCTTATAAAGTAATTGACCTAACCACTAACTATTCGGTCAAATCTTGATCACGGTTCATATGAATATCTACCACCCTGTTATGTTCATATTTAATTTTTTTGATATATCCCTCTCATTCCATGAATTCTTAATTTTACCATGAATAATGCTGAATAAGCTATAGCTTACAAATATCTTGATGAATAACACAACAAAATATGGTCACCTCGTGAATTCAAAAAGGTTATTTTTTGGATGCTAGTGGGAAAGCATATCATATAAAATAACTTAAAACTTATGAAAACAATTCGCATAATCTTAAAATATACACAACCGCCATCCGTTTCCATTGTAACCATCATTCTTTGCTGTCTACCTAGCTTGCTGTGTTTAACACTCAACCCTGTTCTCAAATAGATCATATCGCCACCAGTTGACGATAGAGTATGTCCGTGCATGACTACCACTTCTCCTTGAGTACGTACTGTGGTTCTTACTTTCCGCTTTCGTAATTCATCTCACTTTTGGGTAGTTATTAAAATCGTCGCTTCAGCTGATTATAATTAAAACCACAAATAAGTGCCAAAATCAAAGAACTTTCAAGGCTAACTCACTAATCTTTAAGGCAATGTGAGAGAACATGGAGTATACACCTTATCCAACAGTTTTACGATAATGCTGCTTGCCAAGTAATCCACAACGGGAAACTCACGGGATCCTTCGAAGTGAAGACATGGGTCAGACAAGCTGGCTGCCTACTATCTCCAATGAGTTTCCTGATTGCGGTAGACTGAATAATACGAAAGACAGTGGGAAACGAGAAGACAGGCAAAAAATGAACCCACACAAAAAACTTAGAGGATCTGGATTCCACCGATGATATATCTTATTCCTCACAAACTAGAAGATATGCAAGTGAAAAGCAATAAAGTGGTGAAAGAAGAAGCATCAAAGATAGAACTTCAGGCGAACATAGAAATAAACAGAGGTGGTGAAAATTCCTGAACAACGACAACAGCGACAACAATCAACACAAATGGTGGAAATCCGAAAGAAACAACCTCCTTTACATACCCGGAAAGTATCGTTTCGACTACAGGTGGACCTCCGTTTCGGTGGGTGAGTCGGTACTAACAGACCAAGAAGCACTGGGGCTAATGACAGTAGACACTGAAACTGGTGGCCAGCTAAACTGTTTCCCGAAGTGCTCTACCCGGCGTCTTTTAAAACTGGTAATTGGCGTGCCATCTGCCTCACAGACCGTCTCGCTGACACCTTGTTTCTTGCCGCCGGTGGCTCGGATTAGTTGGAACAGCTTCCAACTGTTGCCAGATGCAGCAGCTGACTCCATCTCACACGCACGTTCTGACCACCAGGCTTCGCGGTCCTTACTTAAACACTGTCTAATCTTGCGCGTGAACGCCTTTCGCTTATTGTTGTATTCGCTGCCAGCCGGAATGAACCGGCGTTCATCCATGAGTTGCAAGGAACTCGCAGAAACCCAGTGGTTTTTAGCGGAGCATTCTTTCAAGCCGCAAGTGGCTACACTCGCCTTTTGCATGGCACCTCGCACATGAAGCCAGTGTTCATCTATACTACTTGGGGGTTGCTGGCAAGCATTGTTTTTAACTCATTCTGATATATCAAAGAAGTAGCAGATGCTACTAGTTTGCTTACATCAACGTTTAGACGACAGCTTTTATGAACCCCACCAAATCGCAAGACGAACTTGGCACACACTAACGCATGATCGGAGTCCAGGCATGTGCTCCAGAAGGAGCGACAGTCTTGTATGCATCCTCGCCACCGGAAACTGACAGCAATATGATCAATCTGAGTCCAAGCTTGCTTCGCAGAGAGAGGACGCCAGGTAGCGCTACGGCGATGGCTGTGCTGGAAGTTGGTGCTGGCTAGAAATAGGTTGTGATCCGCGCAAAGCTGCAGAAGACGGTCCCATTATCTGACCTGCGACCATGTAGTCCCCATTGACCACCTAGACGATTCTCCTCTGAGCTTAGACCCCCGACCTGTGCATTCAAGTCCCCAGTCAGCACTACGATATCCCTCCGACCCGCCTGTTTCAAGTGATCGCTCAGTTGGTAGTAGAACTCATCCTTCATTGCAACTGGGCTGAAATCCTTCGGTGCATAGGCAGAGACAACAAATAGACACCGCTTATCTGGCCTACTACTCCGTACTTTCGTATAACCTTACAGCACATAAACGACTGTTAATGGGAGTCCAGTCGAGCAATGCAGCTTCGGCTCTAGCGCTCAGTGCGACACCGACACCAGCTACGCCGGACGCCGACGCCACAGGGTCCCCGGATAAGCGCAAGTGGTACATACTTCCAGATGGAGAGGATAGTCGAAGCACTTCAATGGGATCTTGAATGCAGGTCTCCGGAATGCAGCAGACATCGATAGGGAGGCTTTCCAAAGTTCTTACCAACCATGCCTGTTGTCCGATTTGCATCAGCGTCCGAACATTGTAGGTGGCCAGCTTGAACGCGGCACGCGGTTTCAGGATATCTGTGTTAGATGTCACATTGGGGACGACCATTTTAGGGATTACTCACTAACATCTCGAAACGACACAAAGGCGAAAGGCTGTCGAAGGTCACGAAGTCAAGTTTAGCAAAGGTAAAATACAGGAAACTATGTGTGAAAATAAAAGTAATGTAGGAAGGACACAAGTTACTTGGGGCATCATATTACTTGAAATAATTGTTACGAGCGCGCGATGAGTTTCGATGAGAATTTATTGCTTTATTTCATTCATTGTGCGAGGGCTGAGATACTGCCCGGGCGCCCAGACCGAAGCATGTGGTTTTATTAGGGGACCACCCCCAAGCCTTTGATTTGGAGTCTAATCCGCAAGGCAGCGAAGCAGCGTCAGGAGCTGCTTTCCCATGGTTGCCGGTGACCAATATTGATTCATAAGGCATTTGATCCGATTGGATACTGGAGCCCATGTACCCCATGGTAACTGCTTTTAGTCTAACCGTTATCCAAACAACCTTCCTGACATGGTAGGACCTTCAGGGACATGAGTCCCAACCAGTTTAGCTTGTTGGGTCACTGCAGTATTCAACCCCGACCACCACGGCAAGGTAGCATTTGTCGGCCGGGCATGAGAAATAAGATCCGGATTTTCAACTCCAATGTGAGGTCAGCGCTGCTTGGCGCCGCGTCACGATGTGCACTTCAAACAAAGTACAGACTTTCATCAATAGCTGTCTATGCTCAATACTATTACGCAAGATCAGATGGCGAGAAAAGAGCAGCAACAGAGATCTCTCGGAGCGAATCAACTCAGCAGGAACCGATTGTGCAGGAAGAAATGGATGTGGATTGGTCATACTCTGAGAAAACCATCAAGTGACATCACACGTTAAGTCATCGCTCGAGTGGAACCCGGATGGGTAGTGGCGAGTTAGTTGGTCGTCAGTGAGATGGTGTTGTGAAGAGGAAATGAAAGTACGCGGAGATAAGTGAAAATGTTGGCAGAGAACCGAACGCAATAGAGACCTGGGGCTGAAGCTCTATGTTGCTCCAGGAACTAAAAGAGATAATACAAGCTTCTACAAGAGTGATAGGTGAAAACATTGATGGTTTGGGACAATGTTATTCTTCTGAATGATACTCATAAATCCAAGGTATTTGTAATTGTTTTTTTTAATTTGATTTTTAGGGTAAATTTCATAACTGACTGAAATCAGCCAAAGAACCTTTTTTCTTCCTAGTTTAGAACCTAACACTTGATTTGTAACATGTGCGCCACAAGATCTGGAGATAATAAGTTCTTGGGTTTTCAACTGTATTGAAATCACTGACTGGAGAGAAACAGCTATATAGTTTCCGTAATTTCCTGCATCTTATGTGTCAACTTTCAGCAACGAAATACTTTGATTTCAATCGAATTTTAATCATGCTTAACAACTTGATATTTTATTTTTTTAACTAAGGGGGAATCGCCAATTTTGGAACTTGATGATATAATTCAGTTGCAGTCATCCAGTAGACCTCGTCGTAAATTGTCTTCAAGTACTCCAAAGATTTTACCTGATTTGCAAGCAACCCAACGTGATGCTGCTACGACTACTACTGATATTGATGCTCCAGACTTTTCTTCGAATGTAAGTTATAGAGTAATTGATAAAATTACAGCATTAAAATGTGCTTGGTAGTATTAATGAGTCTAAGTCTACTAAAGTAGTATTAGTAGTAGTGAATCTGATAACTTACTACTGATAATAAAACAGAAACAATCATTTTATTATGTAGTTTTGCTGCAGTGGGAAAGTGTTTACAGTGTAGCATGTGCTACGGAGAAGATGTGGATGGATAGAAAGAGGCCAAAATTTAAAGCCAACATATTAGGTCAATAGATGCAGAGGTGGAGGTGTTTCTTCCTCAAATCTAGATCTAGTTTACATTGTGGTCAGAAAAATCTCATTGGACAACTTTTCATCTCAGTGTTTAACCTTGAGCCAATCGCCAAGCAATCAGAACAGTTTGCTGTCCGCTGACCTAGTCGACTTTTAATGTGGTTCAAAATGTATAAATAGTTTGTGTCTTCCCTCAGTAAAAAGTCGGTTGCCAATTTTCTTATCCTCTGCCGTAACAACAGTACTTCAGAGTACCTTACTTCATGTTGTGTTGATAAAAAGTAGACATTAATGTAGACTTTATTACAAGAACTCAATCAACTGGTGAATTAAGTAGGTAAGGTATGGAGACCAACGCAAAACATTGCGTATGGATAATCCAATTCAAGTGACATTACATCGGCCAAAGTGGGCGTCCTCTTCGAATAAGAATCCAAGAACACAAGTCATCCATGAAAAGACATGATATAAATTCTTTAGTATCAATGCATACAGACAATTATGGACATCAATTTGATTGGGATAATATCAAAATCTTAAACAGAGGAAACACCAAATGTGCCAGGGAATTCCTAGAAGCCTGGTACTCAAACGAAAATGCCATTAATAAACACGTTAATATAGATGAAATATATCAACTAATAAAAAGCAAGTCAGGTGACCAGAAAGTTTAAAATCCTAATCAATAGAAAACGGTCAATACATATGTAAAGATGGTTGGGCACCAGGAGACGCAATTGTATCATCATTCATAGAGATTTTTAAATCATTTAACTTTATGCTAAATACTGCGCTGAAGATGCCGTCTAGAAAGACGACGAAAGCTCCGTAACTAAACCAACCAGCTCAGAGAACACTATTAATTGCAAATCATTCACCTGAGTTACAAATCTTTTCTATTATTTCAAGTGACCATACTTTAAAACAATATACAAACCGAAATAAGAAAAGGAATAAAACAAAAAATCAGGGCATAAAATGGAACTGTGGCTCATTGGTTTACACGGTTGACTTTCCACCCCCATCTGCCGATCTTTGGTCAGCCAAGTAGTACCATTAGCCTTCATATAGAATAACTGTGGCACATTGCCAGCTACATTTTCATACAAGCGACTGATGACTGAAAGTGGATGACATATTGTGAGGCTATTCATGTACATTAATATACATATATATCGATATACTTGTCCACTCATAATCCTATATATTTTGAGTAACTTAGCAGCATGATTTTTAATTTTAGTCATGGTTGTTGGGTGATCTGACCTGTATAAAAATAATTTTGAGATTGCACAGAATAGGTGAAGAAGGCATTGGTGACACGGTGTGCAGCATCACTAAAATAATATAGAATGATGAATATATGCAGGCGCATGTGCAACCAAACATATGTTTGGTCATACAAGTGAGGAAGAATTGTTTGTGTATTTCAATTTTGCTGTATACTTGACGTGTTTTCTGTATTCAAGTATTCACGCTTTCAGAATATTTGTTCGATTAACAGGTTATGTTGAAACCGTTTGAAGGTGATGCAAGTGAACACTTTCCCTCAAAGTCAACTACTGAGAGTAAGTTATGATATTTCATTATTTCCTCCAGTTGCATATATTCACTTCATCGTGGTGAACGTGTACATTTGTCATATTACCTAACCACTTCATAATTTAGAAGCTTTCTATTTAAACTGGTCAGTATGTAATAGCCTAAGCTACTCATCAGTCTTCATTACTGACTGAAATCTATCGATTATATTTGCTTTATGACTACTATTTAATATCGTGATGAAGTTTCCTTTAGTATTACGGGTTATACGAGTCAATGTTCAGGATGCTTCTCTTAATGAAAGCCTTACATCTCAAAAAGGGGTTAAATATAGATGAGTTTACAAGTAAATGTGATTTCATTGAAATATAGTGATATCATTAGGCTAAGAACATAGACATACACGAAGTTTCGTATTTGTCAGAACTCATTATCACAATGCATCCTCAATCCATGCTTGCTTAGAAACAAGGACCTTCAGGGAAAGAAGTTACACTATCACAGCTAAAACTACAGTGACTTTGGACAGCCAGTCATAACTCGGATGCAAAAAAGTGGCAAAATTGTTAGAAATTGTTTTAAAACACATTGCAGACATGGCTTAGTACAGTATAATTGACTCGTTTTTCTTCCCATAATGTCCCCCAGTCACTACAAGGATAATCCACAAAGAAATAATACCATGGACGATTGGTGTATTAATCCAGGTGACTGTATATCGAGTTACTTTGGGATCCATTGATATTCCTAACACTGCTACTTAACCTAACCCTAACCTTAACCCTACCTGACAGTATAAGTTTACATAAAAAGTACTTAAGAATTAAGTAGGATACTGTACCTACTATACTATCCTCAACAATTTTATTTGGAATGATGTTTTTTAGTGTCCCCTAGATCTGATTGGTTTCTGAATATAAACTTCTGACAGACCTTGACTTTGCCTGTAAAGTTTAACTTCACCCTTCAAGTTTATCAATGAATTCCAGCTAACACTAAAAGCCTGATTAGCTATATCAGTAAGCAATGTTCGTACTAGTTTTGTGTAAACTGTTGATCATTAATAATTTAAGAAACAGAAAGCAGCAGTTTCATTACGAAAACCTAATCAATCGGACTAACATTCAGTTTTCCAAACATATATAATTAGTTTACAACCTAATGCATTAGTTTGCCAGCACATATTTAATTATATATATATATATATATATATATATATATATTAGTGTATTTTATTTTTTTTATTCACTTCTTATGCATTTGTGAAACTAGATTTCAAGAGCGAATCTCCTAAGCACTCTGTTGTCCGATCACCATTAGGAACATCTCCACCTGCCGAACACTGTCGTTCCAGTGCATCACTTCAGGTTGATTTAAAAAAGTTAAATCATTTTCTTGATCAAGTTGTCCTACAAACAGACGGTTGGTCAGCGATACAACTGGTTGATCTATATACAGACTTTATTTATTTAATTTTATGGAAGTACGCATCACTGACAAATCGTTTGTCTTTATCAGATGTAAGTCATTCATCATATTACATATATATATATATATATGTTTCTCTTTTGGCTAGTATTTAGTATGTGTATAGAATGTGCATTACTTCAAGGATGCCCAGCCTTACTGTTCATTGTTTAATTTCTTAACGTCCTACCTTATCATGATGATTCTGCTTAACAATTTTCATATCATTTGAAAGGCTTTGTGTCGGTGTACCGTGTTACAAATAATTACTTCCATTGGCTACTGAAGTGTTCTTATTTGAATCATAAGAACATGAGAATTCAAGCAAGTCAGTGTCTATGCAATCGTGAAGAATAGGTATGATTGTGAAATCTAGTCGGTACTCTACTGATTGTTCTACTATCAATTGGGAGCTATACTACCAAAACTGCACACCGTGGAAATTTGAGTTTTATTTAGAATCACTGAAAAAAAAAGTTATATCTACTCGGAATAAACACAGTCATTCATATTTCGCATTGTCTTTTTACTTACAGGATTTCGAGAAAATTTTCGCAACGCATCAGAACGCACCGAATACAACTTCACACGCCAACTTCTAATTAGGTCTATTTAAACCTTAACTAATTACTTTCTTTCGATTTATTGTCATTGCTTAGACGTATATATCCTCTTAGGATTATTATTATTATTACTTGCTTCCACGGACTACTGTATCGTAATAGGTTCCACCAAATAAAAAAAATTATCTCACCTCAGGTTTTAGAAAAAAAATTCTAAGATCTTGGCAGCTTTGTCTTGTCTTTTGAGCATCACACTATCAGTACATACTCTAGGTGTTATAATTTTGAATGCTAGTACTTATTATGTGTGTGAATGTGCTTTTCATGTGTACTTGCAGCCTACTGTTGCAATGGTCTTTAACTATTTCAGCATCTACCATGTACTTGGATTTAAATGCTTTGAGCTGCCAAAAGTCAGTTATGTTTGTTATTATTTGTGTTGTCTGTGAATATTATCACCGTACCATATATAAATATAACAATCGATCTCTTTACTTTCTGTCTATCAAGAACAAATGCATTTCGTGAAAACATTTTTATTCTTCAATTCCGATACGTGTGATAGGTGAAATTTAACTCGTCTTCTATTATTGTTGTAATAATTATTATCACTTTTATTACTATTATTAATTCTCACACAAGCTTTTCATATATGTATTTAAAATTAAGATAAATGTATCTAGGCTGTTTTCTTGAAAACTTTCCAGGGTTTTTCAGGTAAAAGCTAGCAGTTTCTCATTTCTTTGTGTGTTATGCATGCGTTGTGCTGTAAACATAAAATATTGGATTATTTTTATTGCTTAGGAAATTTTTATTCTTCGTTCATACTGGTGATATCTGTCTTCATCATAACCTCACTCTTGTTCTTTACAATAATTTCATTTTACCAGTCTTTTTTAGTACTGTTTTTTTTAGGCATTTTGAAACTTTTATTTCAATGAATTAGTCAACATGTCTGGTATACGGACATTTGTGATGATATCTTTTCTTCATGTATTATAATTGTTTTGTTGTGTATAAAGGGTGTTATTCATTCAGTATTTTTAAAGTCTATACCATACACCATTTATTATTGACTCAGCTACTTCCATCATCCATTGTTCAAATCAGAGTTGAATAGCAGAAAAAATATTCGATGAATTGTTGGCCTGCTGGTAACTTTGTTGTCCTGCCGCAATTCTATAAACCTGAACCTATTAACATACTGTAGTCAGCAGTCCAAGTTACACACCACCGCGATAAGCTTTGTCCCAGTGTTATTCCGATTTTGCAGAATTTAAGACTTATGCAGCGGAATTAATCGTGAAGGCATCTGCGCCATTGAAAACGATTTTGAGCCATATCACCGATTGCTTTCAGTCAGTGGTTTCTACCGTCCCGAGGACTCCAAACAGGAAGTCTACACCTTCCTACGTGACTGGCTGGGATTTCATCAGCGATCAAACCGTCGGCGCTGGCTGGTGGTACTTCCCAAATAAGTGAAGCGGTCAATGTGCTCTGCCACTTCACTCCCTATTCCTAAACTAGGAGTCGCTGTAGTCCAGTCCTGTAACATCATCTTGCATTTGGCGGGAGCGAATCGCATGCCAAACATTCGTAGATTGCAGCTTAAGGTGTTTAGAAGACTCTGCGTTTTGTCAGCATCTGCACTTAGAAGAACAATATCATCTGCATATTCTAAGTCAACGAGATTATTTCCCGATGGTAACAAGTCGATCCTTGAGTCTCTGAAGTGAGTTAGGGTTAAGTCCATTAGTACATCTACGATGAAGTTGAATAGAAATAGGGATAATGGGCATCCTTGACGGACACCACTAGTCGTCATCAGTTCAGATAACAGCTCGCCGTAAGGCCTCACCTGCTTGCTTGAGTTCGAGTAGTGCCTTGATCAATGGGATATATTTTCTCGGGATTCCTTTTACAGCTAAGCACCACCAGAGAACCACTCGGTCGACAGAATCGAATTCCGCCTTTAGGTCAAGAAATATAATGATTGTTGGACGCCGGTAAGAATGCCTATGTTCCAGAATCTGTCAAAGGGTGAAGATATGATTAATACACCCTCTTCCTGGTCTAAAGCCTGCCTGGCTTTCTCGTGTTTGTGCATCCCGAGCACCACTTAGTCCACGCATGATTATTGAGCTTAGGACTTGAGAAACTATATTAGTCAAGCTAACCCTTCTGTGATTATCACAGGAAGACTTGTCTCCTTTCTTGCATATGGGGATAATCAGTGATTTACACCAACCCGAAGGGACTTTCTCTGATTCCCAGACGCTGCCTAGAACCTTACTTAACGCAGATAGTAAACTGCCTTCATCTTACTTAAATACCTCTGGAGTCATTCCATCGGTCCCCACAGCTTTGCTTCATTTGAGACCAGTGACAGCTTTAGTAACCTCAGTTAGAAACGGAGGACCTGTGTCTATATCCCATTCAGGGAAATGTGGGATGTTTGGTAAGTTGAGCGTGGCTGTAGGCCAACTGAACTGCTCCTCAAAGTGTTCTTTCCAACGTTCTAGTCGTCTATCCTAGGAGCTATTTATAGTGCTATTTTTCTCAGAGGTCGTTTAACTTATCGTTTGCATTTTACCACCTGTTTCCCTGATAAGTCAAATAGTTGTCTGATGTTACCAATCGGCGGTGCCTTTTACTATCTCTTTCGCTTTTGTCGCCCACCACTGTTCACGGTCGTTACGAAGTTCTCTTGTTAGTTTGCATTTGAGTAGCTTTCGCTCTTCATCAGAATCGGAGCTACCCGGGATCAGTCTTCTTGTGTCAATCAGTTCGGATGAGGCGGTAGAAATCCAATGGCTCTTACTAACTTTTGGTTCTAGCTTATTAACAGCTTTTACGGTTGTGTCTACAGCTAACTGTATGTTGCGCCAGGCCACCTCAGGGGAAGTCCTGCTGTCGTGTATTAATTTTGTTGTTTTTTTATGACAAAATTAATAGTCAACATCTTGTTTGCCACCACTCGGTGGTAATGTATCTTTTGCAAATTATAGTTCTATGCATCAGCGATTAGCTGGAGTAACAGACATTTTCTTGAAGTCATACGGTTAATTGGCCTATATAACACTGTCAAGAGTTTAACTTCAGTTATTTTCGGAAACGCAATATATACCATCTTAAGTTAGTCTTTTGCTTACTAGTCATGTTTACTGATTTTCGGTTTACACAGTTGTATACGACTTCAGTGCTTTACGAAACATTTAGGTCATTCCATCAGACTTTCAACATTGAGAATAACGAAAGCGTACGAATTACAAGCACTAAGAAACCTATTCTGTCCACCAGCTGTTTAGAAAAACTCGTACTTGTAAACATATTTTCTTCATTATATATTAGAGGAAGAAAAATCAGGTTGAAATGCATGCGCCTTTTTACGTTAGATATACATAATTCGTAATGTAGTTACCATAAGGAAAAAACAAACGGATCAAAAATATAATCAACAGACCGATGAAATTTTAAACATCAATTCCTGGATCATCCAAATCATTATACGATACCATACTACGTTCACCTGAACCGTATGGACGTCTACAAGAGAAAATAAATATATAAATTAATGTAGAGAGAAATCAGTGGATATGTTTTAAATTTAGGAACCACTAACGTTAATTTCAGTTAGGAGAATACATATTAATAGGCCGATTGTGATAATATCATCTGTGACTAAGACAATATATGTTCTTAAGAAACAATGAAATGATGATCAGGAAGAAAGTAGTAGACTACAAGAGTTGATACCAGTCATGTGATGTAACGATAGCAGCATAAAATACACCGTATTTCTACCCAGTGGGAATAAAAGTCAGTAATGCATTTTTGAGATATATATGAAAGGAGTAATCGTATAATTGTATGTTGCTTAAAATGTGTGGTCATTGAGCTGCATCATTACTTTCTATTTTCCAACAGCTCATTTAAATATCAAGATGTTTGCTTTAAAATAAGCTTCCTTGAACTCACACATCCGTTTTGAATGCATTTCGTGTATAAAACTAAATAGTTTCAAATACAGTAACACATTCACAACAATATCTATTGATGTATAGAATCTTTACAATCACGTCTATATTATTTTCGAACCTTGTTAAAACTAACGACAAGCAACCTAACTATTTGATTCATCAAGCTTAGAATGGTTGAAAGATTGCCTTACAAACCATTATTACACTCAAGGAGTTGATTACAAATACTTAATCTGAATAACAAAACATTCACTATATTTTAATAGTATGACTACAAAAGTACTATTGGTTTTATTTACCTATTGCCAGCATAATTTGTAGGTAGTCTTCGACGGTTTTCCAGCGAACTGTATGGTCGATGATTGTATTCATGAGATGATGGCGATGTACCTCGTTGACCGCGTCTAGACATACCTAGACCTGATCGAGGTGCATTTGCTGCAGCTAATGCATACAAATCAGCTGCTGTCGCGGCGTTTGGATATAAAGCTGCTGCTGCAGCCGCGGCTACTGCTGCCATAGCTTGTTGCTGTTGTTGTTGAGCTGCCGCATCATAATAATCCTAGAAAATACATTAACATACATGAATCTTAATGAAACCAAAAGATGTTATCGTACAATAAATTCAGAGTTCGTGAAAGCATGAACAAACATATTGACTGCGGGTAAAAGGACAGTTTGCAATAAATACATCTACTTCATAAATCTGAAAATTTTGTGTTGTAAAGAAGCACGATAGATTTAGAATAGAATGATTACATGACTCTAGTTCGCAGAATATGAGGAAATGCAAAATTAATTTTGAGCACAATAGTGGAGATTTTATTCATCAAGTTGTCTCAAATACACACCCCTATTTAAAATAGGATCATGACCTCCTGGCAAAAGAAGCACAGGTGATTGTTTCAAAAACCTAATTCAGTGTTTTGATTAATTTCAAATCTTTAAATACTCACATTTATAATATTAGAACAAGACATATAAGCGAACAATATTGTTTTCAATTAACTGCTATTGCGATACATAAGACCTTTATGCAGGGTTGTTTACAACTGTCTGTCTGTTTTCGACATAGAACTTTGCACAAATGTGCGGAAGTTCAAGTCGCCACATTCCGTGTAGCACGCGAAGCAAGAGAAGAAAGTACAAGAAAAGCATAATAGAAACAGTGAGCAGAGGTGTGAGACAAAGGAGTAATAAAGAAATACAAAACAGTTTCATTGAAGATCATAAGTCACAGGGAGTGGATGCATCTGCGCCACTGAGAACGATTTTGAGCCATGTCACCAATTGTTTCCAACCATAGATTTTTACCGTCCCGAGGACCCCAGCCTGGAAGTCTACACCTTCCTACGTGGCTTAGACCAACTGTTGTGGATTTCATTGACTGATGCCAAGTTTTTGTTTGACCGCCGCTAGCTTTTTTCCAGCCTGACCCTATATCCGCTAACATTGCTCGTCGAGGGAGGCGATGGCTTGGCATACGTAACACATGTCCTAACCATCTCAGTCTTTGTAGCTTCACGACTTCGTCGATTGATTTCCCCTGTTTACCTAGAACTCTACGCCTAACCTCCATGTTGCTCACCTTATTATGCCACTTTACACGGGAAATAGAACGCAGGCACCTATGATCAAAGACAGCTAGTCTTTTCATGTCTTCCACTCTCAGTGGCCAGGTCTCACAACCATAAAGGAGGACGGAGCGGACTGATGAGCAGTACACCCGCCCTTTGGTCGATAGTCGAACATCTCGTCTACGCCAGAGTCGGCGTAAACTAACAAATGCGAAACGAGCCCCTTGTATTCGTGCTGAGATTTCGTCAGAGATCAGCCCGTTGGGGCTGATGGTACTTCCCAAATAAGTGAAGCGGTCAACGTGCTCTACCACTTCACTTCCTATTTTTAAACTAGGCGTCGATGTAGTCCAGTCCTGTAACATCATCTTGCATTTGGCGGGAGCGAATCGCATGCCAAACATTCGTAGATTGCGGCTCAAGGTGTTTAGAAGACTCTGCATTTCGTCAGCGTCTTCGCCTAGAAGGACTATATCGTCTGCATATTCCAAGTCAACGAGATTATTCCCCGGTAGCAAGTCAATCCCTGAGTCGCTGAAGTCACCTAGGGTTAAGTCCATTAACACATCTATGATGAAGTTGAATAGAAAAGGAGATAATGGGCATCCTTGACGGACACCACTGGTCGTCATCAGTTCAGATGACAGCTCGCCGTAAGCCCTCACCTGGCTGTATGAGTACGAATAGAGTGCCTTAATCAGTGCAATATATTTTCTTGGAATTCCCTTTACAGCCAAGCATCTCCAGAGAACTTCCCGATCGACAGAGTCGAATGCTGCCTTTAGGTCAAGAAATATAATGACTGTTGGACGCCGGTAGGAATGCCTATGTTCTAGAATCTGTCGGAGGGTGAAGATATGATCAATACACCCTCTTCCTGGTCTAAAGCCTGCCTGGCTCTCTCGTGTTTGTGCTTCCCGAGCACCACTCAGTCTACGCATGATTATTGAGCCTAAGACTTTAGATACTATATTAGTCAAGCTAATCCCTCTGTGATTATCACAGGAAGACTTGTCTCCCTTCTTGTATATGGGGATAATCAGTGACTTACACCAACCCGATGGGACTTCTTCTGATTCCCAGACGCTGCCTAGTACCTCAGTTAATCCGGACAGTAAGCTGTCTCCACCGTACTTAAATACCTCTGGCGTCATTCCATCAGGTCCCGCTGCTTTGCCTAGTTTCAGATTGGTGACAGCTTTAGTAACCTCAGTTAGTGACGGAGGACCTGTGTCTATATCCCATTCAGGGAGGTGTTGGATGCTCGGAAGGTTGAGCGTGGCTGTGGGCAAATTAAACTGCTCCTCATAATGCTCTTTCCAACGATCCAGTCGTCTATCCTGTGAGCTAATTATAGTGCCATTTTTTTCCGAGATTGTCTCACTAATGATTTGTCTTCTCCCACCCGTTTCCCTGATGAGTCCAAAGAGTTGCCTGGTGTTGCCTATCCTCAAAGCTTTCTCCATCTCTTTGGCTTTTGTCGCCCACCACTGTTCACGGTCCTTGCGGAGACTTTTCGTAAGTTTCCTCTTGTGCAGCTTTCGCTCCTCATTGAATTCGGAGCTCGCCGGAATAAGTCTTCTAGCATCTATCAGTTCGGATGAGGCGGTGGAGATCCAGTGGTTTTTACTCACCTTTGGGTTTACCTTATTCACAGCTTTTACAGCTGTATCTATGGCTGCCTGGATATTTTTCCAAGCTTCTTCAGGGTGAGCACAGCTGTCGAACACAGATATGTGTTTAGCTAGTTCTTCCTGAAATACGGATTTAGTTTCCTGATCGAGCTGGGGACGTGATGGTTTTACCGCCAGCTGTTTCCTACGTCCGTTCAGTCGTAAGCACACCCGAGCGCGGACCAGTGCATGGTCGGTATCTACGCACGTGTTCCAGAAGGAGCGACAATCTCCTACCGACCCACGCCAACGATAGCTTATTGCTATGTGGTCTATTTGTGTCCAGCGTTGGTTTGATGAAGGGGGTCTCCAAGTCAAACAGTGTCTCTCCTTGTGTTTAAAGTTAGTGCTTACAAGAAACAAATGATTATCAGAGCAGAACTGTAGGAGACGGTCACCGTTGTCGGTTCGCTGGCACGGAACTCCATAGGTGCCACCGACATCCTTCTCAGATTGACACAATTTCCCTACTTGAGCGTTAAAGTCACCAGCTAGAACGACTATGTCTGAGCGTTTAGCCTTTCCACCAAACTAGACAGCTTTTGGTAGAACTCATCCTTCGTTTCATCTGAACTGCAGTCAGTGGGGGCGTAGGCGGAGATTACGAAAAGGCATCGGCGAGTAGTGCAGTCCTTCCTCCTTCTTACTGATCCGTTCAGGCGGACAGCACACATTCGGCTATCTACCGGGATCCAGTCAAGCAATGTCTTTTCTGCCCTAGTACTCAAAGCTATCCCTACGCCAGCTAATCCTCGTGAACTAGCTGTGGCATCTCCTGACACCCTCAAGGTGAATTTTGCAGATTCAACCTGTTGGCCAGGTGGGGTTAGGTGAATAACCACACTTGGGTCTTGTATGCGTGTTTCTGAAACACAGCATACATCAATGGCTCGTGATGCCAGGGTCTTGGCTAGTGATGCTTGTTGTCCTATTTGGCAAAGTGTCCTAACATTAAGAGCTCCTATATGAAATTGGTGGCGCGGCTTTAAGAGGCTGTCGGTGGTGGTTTTTTGGCTTCCATCGTTTTTAGTGGACGCAGAGTGGAGAGGAAGTGGAGAGCTATCAAGTCGAGGAGTTGCATCAGTGGAAGGAAGGCAAGATGATAGAGATGAAGATGAAGACAAAGATGAGTGAGTAATAGAGAGGTTTCGTGTGCATTTCGGATTGTGAGGGCGATTGTTACTTCCCGGCTGCCCACACCGTGGAAGTTGGTTGCGTGACCGCAGAGCCCAGGGGACAACTGCTTGAGGCCGGTCACACGCGGCCTGTTTTTGTTGTTCTTTTTGTTTGGTGTGTCTCAGTAGCAGATTTATCACTCCCGCCCTGTGACACGGCAGCAGGAAGCGCGGTCGTTGTTAATCCGGGCCACGGCCGATCCGGCATGAAATTTTGTTTACAACATTTACTACCGCTTAAATGTAACTCTATGTGTATACACTATCAAACCCACTGATAGTGCGAAAAATCTACAGTTTTAAGGGACATTACTGGGAAAAGTGGACAAACCTGAAAAGATCCAGAACTACGTATATAACTTGGGGCTGACGAGAGAAGTGAATTGTTCCTGTAGCCTCGATAGCTTCCACTGGAACCTCGTGCAGAACCTCTACCTCTATAAGTGCTGTTTGAATTTGAGCTCAAAGAAGGATAATACTGATTTAGCAAATGATAGGGTGCTTCAGGAAGTGATGGACGTCTCGGATCTTTCAAGTAATTGTTGAAAAACACTGCATTGTCTTTTTTAGCCGCCTCCACCTTATCCATGTGCTTGTTGAATATATGCTTTCGTACGAAGATAGGTTCGCGAAATTTTTTATCCGACAAAGGACAAATCCAAACCACTTTTGATCTAATCAATTTGAAGAAAAGTTTGTTTTAGAGCAACACCACTAAGGATAATGAAAAATAAATAAATTCATCACAAAGTAATGTTTCGCGAAGTTATACACGACTACTACTAAAATATATTTCAGTAACATGTGAGTAGATAATTAAGAACCAGGTTTTTCTTCACTTTAAAGAATATCAGTAAAAGTAAAAGTGGAAAATAAGATTAAGAATTATAACCTTGAATAGAATTGCTCAGTACACAAACAGTTTTATAAGCCTGAGATAAGTCAATATGACCAATAAGGGAAACACTGAATAACCAGTCACCAAATCACTTGGGAGATCATGCTTACATCTGCATAATGGGGGTTAGTAGAAGCGACCGTCGTAGTTCACTACAATATATCTATAATCCTGTTCCACAATCTAGCAGACTGTCAATAACTTAAATGAGTAACAATGCCTTAGTAAATGATGCTACATCAGTGAAATGGCTACACAAAAATTGCTAATATGTCAATTTCTGGAGTAAGAGCAACCGATCTTCACAATGGCTCACACTTTTTGCAGTACTTAATTGTAGCTATTTCTACATAAAAGGAAATAATTTTTATGATGGCTTCTGAAAATGAACATCACATTTGATAACGAATGGGGTTTGCATTAATGACCCAAACCTCTTCCGTTTTAAGACTGCTTTAAACTCGTCTTGCCAAGAAACTTATTATTCAATATGTAACACTCAGTTAAGATTGTACAATAACATAACCGATATGAATCGTGATATGGTTAATCTGTGGATGGCAAATTACCAAAATGAATCATAGTTTTCATATTTCTAAACAGTACGGAATTATTATTTGAGTAAACAGTACCGTAATTTATACGCAAAACTGAATATCATCAAGACTCATGTTATCAGTATTATTTCGACATTTTTGTTGTAAGTGAGCATCATTGTTATTTTATTTTATTTAAACGCATAAAAAACTTGGTACGATATGGCACCAAGAAAGATGCGCCACACAATAATAATAAAACAACATAGATCAAAAAAAAAGGAAGGAAGGAAAAGAAAAAATATATATAAGTAGAGAACGGATAAAGAACTTCATCTGGAAGGAAAACAGTCATGCTTAACAAGTTCAAACAGTGTTCGTTAGCTATCATCGGGAAGGGAAGAAAGAAGGAAATCGCAACACATTCGCCACTGATTACGATTCTTGGCCATATCCGATAACATTTCGAGCCATCGATTTGAGCTATCTCTCGGACCCCAACCAGGGAGTCGTGATACACCAACCGATGCTAATCTAGCACAAAAATCCTTCATCCCACGACGCCACGTCATGGACTGACCACCTCTCCGCCTTTTCCATCCCGTCCCAGGGCTAGCGAACAGAGACCTGTACGGAAGCCTCTGGGGTGACATTCGGAGCACATGTCCAAGCCACCGGAGCCGGTGTTTCCAGATGACGACATTCAATGAATGGTGATCTTCACTTTGTTCAAACACACGCCGCCGAACCTCAGAATTACTCACGCGATGATGCAACCGAACGCAAGCAATCCTGTGGAGACAGCGGTGATCGAACACGCAGAGTCGCCGCACATCCTCAGCTCGGAGAGGCCAGTTTTCACAGGTGTAGAGCAGCGCAGCCCGCACCGAAGCATTGTATACCCGACCTTTGACAGCCAGGCTAACGGCGCCATCATTATGTAAATAATAAATAAAAGCGCTGGACATCTTAATCCCTAATAGTGCATTACAACATTCGAATAATTGAGACTCCTAATACAGATTACAAAAGTGCATGTATCTAAGAATATGTAGCATAAACTAATTGTTGCCCAGACAGCTACCAATTGTAACAGGACAGTATATACAGCCCAAGAGTTTGTTCACTGATGCTTTTTGGTTTTAGCAAAGCTGAAAGTAAGTAATGACAACAGGCAACTCAGTCATTTAGCAAACATCCTGCAAAACATGACGTTGGGAATCTAGACATGTGGATGCAGATGAGCATTACTCGAAAACTTTACTTATAAATCCTGGGTAATTACACTCTGCTAAACACAAATAATTAACCAATACTTTGCACGAGTAGTTTTAACATGACTGATTATAGCGTTATATTTTGCTGTTTCGTAGATGAGCACCATGTTTGTGTATTGCAGTATTATTTTTTGGTTTCTCTCCCTTTATCATTTTGTGCCCCTGCATAGTGTGGTAACTTCCGTGGACAACTCTACGTTGATCTGTTATAGTTGCATTCCTTAACTTTGAAGAAGCCTTTATCAAAATCCATAATTTGTAAGGTGGTTTTGAGCTGTGATTCAATCAACCAACCATGCAAATCATAAAAGCTCTTGTGTTTCCGCTACATACAAATACCAAGTGAGCAAAGGGAGAAATATACAAACAATTAACTATGAATCTTTATTAGTATCAAACTTACGGTTTCTTTTTGCCCGTCCTTTTCTGAATATTGGCTTCTATAAAATCTTCTGCGGCTTTTTCAGGATCTCTCATTCCTAACTTTTTCATCTCCTCTTCGGTTAAATCTTTTGGCACATCAATGAGAGTCCTCAATTTCAATGCAAAACTCTATTAATATTTGAATTTAAGAGAAGACGGATCAAATGACAGATCTATTAATTATAAATAATCTGCAAACAAACTATAGAAGCCAATGACTGCACCTACATACAGAGACTAATATAACACCTTCTTCAAAATCATACCTGTTAAAACTACCAATTCTTGAAATGAATAAAATCTGAGTACATTTGGGACACTGTAGACAATTGACTTACCAATCCTCCCGGCCACACAACTCACATATACCACTTTATACCGTTGAGATCAGCAGATAAAGGCTTAACTGGTGCCTCATCCTAATCTGACCAACATTTCTCTCTTAACTTGGTACTCAGGCATCACTGCCAGTCATGGTAGATAGTGGTTGTAACACATCCTAGGAGACGTTACGGTTGTACTTTCAACTTATATGACAAATTTATGATTAGTATCTTTGGTAAACTACGAACTCTTATGTATTTCCCAAGAATGCCATCAATAATTCGAACAGATTTTAGATTTTACAAAATATAGGCCTAAATATTGATGTGAATATTAGAAATGATTTCACGATGCCGTTGTAGCTGTTAAGTCGCAAGTGTTAGCCAAAACTTGTAATTCATGTATATAAGCAGATGAGCTAAAAGGCATTTTTTCTAAATAATTACATAGTGGAGCTTATGTTAAATGAGCAACAAATTGTTTTGAATCTGCCTTTAATGGTAATAACTTCGGAAAGTCTAAAATATTGTAATCATGACATATACCGTATTCCTTTGAATGACTGATGATCACCAGACATATTAACCCACTACACATTTGCCCAAAAAGTCAAATGAAAGATAGGCTTTGTTTATGTGAACTAACTAGGTTCATCTAATTCAATAACTAACCGAAATAACTGATAGGATTCTCGAAGACACTTTCTGGCGCATTAATGCAATTTTCGAATCAGAGACTCATTAACCAAGTGCTGAAGGTGAGGTTAATTATAAACTAAATCCGTTCCATGTGAAAGAACGGAAAAATACCACGACTGTATATGCCAGTCAGACTCGTCGTTAACTTCACTGAAAAAAGAATTAGACACTCCAGAAAACTGTTCTTCTGCTCTCAACAGACTACGATGACTAATAGACTATAGCCCCACAAAGAAAAATATTATCTTTCCCTGATCGATGACGAATCAACGAATTTGCAGGTTTCTTTGATTTAAGTAGAATTCTAAAACTATCGTGACTGACTAAACAACACTGATGAACAAAAAACTCAAACTTACACAGTATTACCGTGACAGCCTTATGAAATAAATAGTAACTTTTAGAGTGTATTCAAAATGCAATTTCAAATATTGATTTTACTATTAATCGTAACATAATACACTCATCTTTTATTATACCTGTAAGTGGTCATTTATTTCTCTTTGAGTGAAAGCTAGGCTACTAGTACGACCACCAGGAACCGAAGGATTAATACCCCGATCACCTCTGGCATGAAGAATTCCACACCGATGAGGCATAAGATCCTCCATAGGATAGACAGCTGCTGCATAATAGTCCATAGAATGAACAACACGTAAGTAAAGTATCAGCAAATCCAAAACATGAGCCAAATTTGGATCAGATTCTAATGCCACAGTATGCACGCGTCCGACCACATTATTATCGCATCCATCGCCATCTCCGTGAGTTTCAGCTATTTGGTTGAAAATGTCAAAATGAAATAAGAATTATGATAAGAAATGCATACTAGTCAGTCGCCGAAACTGATGACTGCTGGCAGTGATGATGAGATTACAATTAAAACAGTATATACAATTGTACCACTGAACAATTATGAGTCATTATCAACTGACAATAACAAAAGTAAATATATAAATGATAATGGATGGCAGTGGAGCTGTAATGAAAGCTGATAGAAAGTGACAATGGTGGAACGCCAAAATTCAAAACAATTGAATGGCGAAGTGATCTACGCCAAACATAACGAACTTGGTTTTGATAAATGGCCTGGTTGAGTAAGCACTGTGGAAGAGTCCCAAAGTATAGAAAAACAGTTGTTCAGTGATTTTCAGCTCTTAATAGCTTGTGAGAAAACCTACCTGAAAACCATGTAAATTTCCTTGAAACTAAGACTGGAATATGCGTAGATGACCACTTTGCCAAGATTAACCATAGCAACTGGCCAACTATTCCTCTCAAAATATACCCGATGAAATTACAGTTTCATCTTCAGAATCAATCTTGCACTAATGTGTGTCAAGTTATTCAGTGGATTGAATCTTTAAACGGTATTCATACTTTTTAGGTAGTGTAATTTTGTATAAACATAGAATAAGTTCAACCGATGTTCAGCCGCACAACACATTATGCTCTACTTCGAAAGACTAGACAGCCAGAATATTCGAAAGTTTCATTTGCAACAAAAGGGTGGCGAAGTGACAGGTACCATGAAAGTAGTTTTCATCATGGAGAGATATCAGCAGAAGTACTACATAAGTATCTCATCTAGCCTGAACTCTTCCGCATCCTGTAATTATGATTCATTGAACGAACGATCTCTAAACAGTTTGATTTCAAGATAAGCTACCTAAATGGTAGACAAAGGCTATTTGCAACTTAATGTTTGGTTACCATAACGAACAACTACAAGTGGTGAAGTAAACCGATTAAATCTGAAATGAGGTTAGTCAATATGTCACAAACAAATGAATACACCAACAAATATAAAGCTAACTCGATGTATCACGAAAATAAGGGATTCGTAAGTATATGCATTCTATAATAACATAAAGGAATTTTCTTCCACATTAATTTGTTCAACAGATTTATCACACAATGAAACAGTAATATTTACTACATGACGTTTCGAACACAATTTGTCGTTCATAATCATATCATATATAACATACTGGAACAACATGAGACAAATGTAATATCAAAAGAGACTCACCTATCAGTGCTTCTTCTTCACTCCCGCCCTCATCAACCAGGTAGTCAGTCAGATTTTTTAGCAATGGATTTTTACTTTTAATAGCCATTTCCAGGGCTTCAGATTCACCATTAACAGCTTTAAGTTTTTCAATTGTATTTAAAGCATCACAAGACCCAGAATTCTCTAAATGTGTCCATAAATTATGTTTAGCATCCAGACGTGCGACAAGTTGTGCTGCTAAGAGTAAATCTTGCCTCATAACTGTTTTGTGACGTGTAAGTGGGGTAAGAGGACGGACTCTTTGAGCTAAATCACGGTTCACTGTAGCACCTAACTCTCCATTTGGAAGGTCAAGTTTTTCCCGTAAAAGGCTACTGGTATTTAACGCCCAACACACTTTTTTTATGTTTACAGATGGATCATATGTTGCCCATGCATGACGCATAAACCGCCGCTCAGGAACAGGTTCCCAAAGAGCCAATCTTATGAATCCATGCTGAGAAGCACAAAGCTGAAATGTGAAATGTAATCAGGAATTATCAAGTACATGGCTTTGATAATACGATATGAAAATCTTCAGTTGAACACTAGCTGCTTCACCAGGCATATATATATAATTATGAAGAATATGAATGCAAAAAACAACTGTGAAGTCTGACACCTGCGATGAAAAATCATAATATTAAACATAATTTTCCCACACGCACAGAGCTTAGACAAAAGTAAATGAAGAACAAATATTTTGTCAGCGTAACTAAATGGTAATGATGTTGCAAATATTTCTAATGCTTAAGTGCATTCTTGTATATCATCACGGTGGAGAGATTCAAGTAGAAGTGGTATTCACGTGACTACAACTCGTCTCTGAGATAGACTGAGCGGAGCACCAACCCCATAAACTATCATCTATCGTGGATTCCAACAAAAAAACTACGCCCTCGTGGTTGAATTTAGATGACAATAGTGATACTCCGAACTTGTAATGATTATACTAACTTTATTATGGCATATCGTTTTTCTTTGTTTTTACTACATTTGCTTCACTCCGTTTAGCAGAATACAACTTCATTCTCTGAGTCACAACTACCAGCTCTCCATCTTACGTTGTTTTCACCTTTTATCCAATATAGTTAGCAAAGAGTCAAAGTAAGCGACAGCTGAGCAAATGAATCTTATTCAAATCGTCTCAAAAATCAGACAAGACACCTTTACTCGTGTTTGGTAATAAACAACTATCTTTAGCTAACCAACCAACCAAATGATACATATCGCTCACCCTTCGAAATCCTACTGTTGCAAACAGTTTGCAACTCAGATAACTTCTATCTATAGGAGCAAAGATGAGTCAGTGCTCGAGATGATAAATTAACGAATAATTCCTTTTAATTGTTACTTGACACAATCGGCCATGTCAGTTGCAACATCAGAATACATGTTACAATGGAGAAATTCGACTGAAGTTGGGAACTGGAGTAAAGGACTAAATTTATACTTCAGCTGATTGATCTAACCATTTCAATTTCAGTTTATGTGTCCAGGGGTTAATTCTCGTTCAGCCCAAACAACTACGAACCATTAGAATCACATTTTTGCGGGTCATATACCTTGTACACGAAAAATAGTCGTCAATTTAAGTGAATCAAACGCACTTTCTACACTGCTAACAACTCACGTCTGGAGTACTCGAACCGGAGTGTCAGACAATACGTGAAGGATAAACTATTGCTGACGTCTATTTTCATGTATATCTACTATTTCACACACTCCTGTGAAGCCGATGACACTGAATGTTGTAAGCGAGTTCCCCGTAAGCCTATTGACAAATACCTTCCCGCCTAGTTCACCATAGATGAATATAGGAACAAAAAATCCCCTATTTGTGAACATTGTTTGGAACTGAGTCGTTTAACTCCTCGTTATTCATCTTCCAGAGTTATCTGCAAAGATAGATTAAACCATTTCAAAAATCTACATTTTGACCACCTAAGTACACGTGGAGCACCAGATATGCATGAACATAAACCGAGGTGACGCATTGAAGGACGTCTTCCAAGACAACTTTTTGATCTGGGCCTAAAATTACCTTTCCAGTCAGTTTCAGTCTATTTCGCTTTATTTTCCCTACGTTGACTATTATCACTACCATTATTACAAATTCAATTCTTCAACAGTACTTGACTCGCCTTATGAATCTTAACATAAACTTCTTTCTTCAATAACCCTTTTTGTATTTCACCTTCTTCAATGAGATACTCCCCGCCTAATAATCATATTATATCTTATTTTAAAAGCAATAACTGAGCAATTTTAGAGTGATTAATACACTTTTTAGGTAATATAAATAAGAATGTAAAACTTGAAAATAAAGTCGTCGGAAATCATATCGTTTAATACATTTTTGTACATTTGAACAAATGACGAAAACCAACCTCTTTTAATTCGCCTTCCGTTATAGTTGAAGGCAATGCACGAAAAAATATTGACGCTGTTTTGTGCAACAGCTTTGGTGGATTTGAACACTTCAACTGAGTAGTATTTGAAGAATCACTCAAATTCGAGCGTTTATCAGATGAATCATTGACAGAGTTAACAAGTGAAGGAACATCATGATCTTCATTTTTACACCCTCCTGGGGTTTCAGCAGTCGTAGGAGTCGGCACATCGTCATCTTCCACTTCATCAGCTTTTACAGCATCGCATACACCACTGAATTCATCTGTACATTTTAAAAACAATATTTATTTGAATGACTACAGAAGCACATTTGGTAACTTGATAAAAGTAGTTTTTAGTACTAATCTATGAAAAATAGCTTCTAAGACTTTAGTCATAACGTATTACTTTACGCCACTGACCGACTATTACGCCTACGTTTGGATGAAAGAGATTTAAACCTCGGAAATTAAACCAGAGGCGAGTACTACGAATCCTAGAGCCCTTTCCTTTGAAATCCACGAAATATAAACTTAGGTGGGTAAGTACTTTTGCATGTTAAACCAAGCATACACAAAACATGGTGTGTGCGATATACAAAATAACTCGCTGAGAGCGAAGTACAACCCAAAGTACTACTCGAGATTGCTTCGATCTCCTGAAGACAGTGACTTCATCAGAATTATGATACATCACAGAACCTGGTCTGACGTTATAAACCTACTGAAATAAGAAGTGATTAACTCATACGGCACAAGCAAATACCACTAAACTCACTAGTCTTATGTGTTTCTTCCGCCTCAGGTTCAGAATCCTCATTTTGTTCACCTTCACTTGAAGAACCACTGTCACTACTTCGGCTACTATGTGAATGGACAGAACTACTTGACTTGTTGGACGTAGTCCGTACTCGTCTGCGATTTGCCAGGTCTTCTCCTATAGGACAATCTTGTGTGAAAGATTCTTCCTTTGGTTTTCGACGATTTTCGGAATTAGAAGGATCATGATCAAAGTTATCATCAGTATCAGCCTCTCCTTCGCTTTTATTATCGCAACAAATTGGTCCTGAAGTCTGTCCGCAATCGACGTTTGAAACAATGACGAGAAAGAAAAGAAACATGAGATGAGCTAGAATTGTTACTGGAAATAAGCAGTAGTTCTGTTTTCAAGTAAAAACTTAAAACCAACAGCTGTATCAAGCATGAAAACTGCGGAGAGTGAAATACAACCTTTTTTGCTTTTGTGCTAAACAAAAACGCCTAAATAGTAATATCTACGTTGGTCACTTCAGCAGACAGTCAGTCACAGCTTTTCAACTTTCGGATATCACATCATTATTAGGAAGGAATATAGGGTAGTAAAACAATTTACCAAAAAGATGTCACCAATGCTCAATAAGTGTCAAACCACGCACTATACGCCTGACTACATAGGCAATAAAGTAGTTTGAAGAATAATGCACTAGATGAGATTAATGTCCTTTAGAGAACCAAGGTAGGGAAATATAACAAAACTTGAACATGCAAAGATGTAACGGATGAAGAAAAACTAGATGAACACTAGTAAACATTTTCACAATCTGAAAGATGGCAAGGAGTAAGTGAACCTTCACCCCTGTAAGAGATTCTGAACAATGTCACTGACAGTCTGATTCGTAGAATCCCAATGATGCCCCACTCAAATAGTCAACACCCTATGTGGCTGAAGCGAACATTCAGAAGCTTTCCCATTTCGCCTAACACTCTTCGTCTAAGAAAGCGGCAACTCAGAGTGTGTAGCAAGTATCTTAATTACTTCAATAGATGGAGCGTCGTATTCTAATCCAATGACTTGCCCTTCTTACTCAAAAGCTTAGACTTAACCTTATTACAAATTACCACAATTCTTCAACTAAATCGACAGACGGAATGTGGGAACCTGTAGTCAAAAGTTCATAATCTTTTCATACCTCCCACCTTCAACAGCTGTCTCATTCATAAAGTAAGACTGAGAACCAGTAGACAGTACATATCCTTTTGAGGGACAGCTGGATATCACTCCGATGCAAAATGTGACACAATTTAGCAAGTGCCCAACGAGCCTTTATTTTCGAGTTGAGATTCAATCAACAACCGGCCCATTTGGCCTGATGTACGTGAAGTGGCCGATAGATCCACAACCATTTCACTCCCTATCATTAGACTGAGAGTCCTCGTAAGCCAGTATTGTAGAATGATCTTGGCAAGAGAGAATCTGATGCCAGGCGAATCGGGATGTTTTCTCAGCTTTTTCATAAGAATATATTTAATATAAGTTTTTATTGATAATCTATGACCATACCACCTAGAGAATATGGAGAACAATATTTAGCATTTCTAAAGAATGCTCTCACTGAATGTCAAATTTATTTCTCATAATCAACGATTAGGCAAATAGTGTTTGCAAAAGGAACATCTGTTAGTGTGTTTTCAATATCGAAGATTGAAAATACATTTTAGGGAAATAAACAGTAATAACTTCAATACACCTCAAATAGACATTTGGTGCTTTATTCAACAAATATCCATTAATTCAGTCGGTATTAGGGCACAAAAAGAATTTTATATGCTTAGTAAATGTACAACAAAATGAAGTAACAGAATACTTATGAAATCCACCTAACAGATGAGTAAACATGAACTGCAAAAGTTGCTTTCTTGATTTGCCTCTCATCATAGACTCCCCATCATGTCTGGCATAAAAACTAACTCAATGCTTTTTAAGTGTTGTGGACAAAAATTGCTGTCACCCACAGTTTGTCCCGAAAATTATGAAGCTGAGACAAGCCAAACCACCTGCATTTTTAATTCCTAAAGAACCACTTCTCATGAACCGACAACTTAACTACAAACCATGGGCAAAAATACCACTAGACCGCTAATGCCTTTCATTTTTGTTCGATGTTTGATACGCTTTTTTCATGCAACCAACGTTGCGATTATGCATAGCGACTGCTTATCAGTTGATCTGCAAAAAGTATGTCAGCCTTATTCACATTTTAATTGCCTAAATGCATCTTTGGTAAATTGATTTAAGCTTTGAAATTGAACATGTCTCACCTGAGATGATCGATGTAAGTCCTCATCAGAGTATTTGGCACGATCTACCTCATCCAATATTTTTAAATCTTCATCGGATCCACCTTCTAGTTTAATAACAACGGCATCCATAAGTTTTATGAGATTTTCACTGTTGTCCATTTGAACAGACTGATTTTCGAAAAAGCCTTTTTGCAGAAGCTCCATAAAAACTTCTAGACGATGTCTAACTGCTGCACTGAGGGCATTTTTCCTTTCATCCATATAGTCAGGATGATAACGAAGACGTAACCTATATCGTAAAATAGCAAACAAGAAAGTTAAAACATGCACAAAAAACACTCTAATACGTTAACCATCTGTTTAGCTCAAGTCACACCTCGTTATATCAATCTATCAGGAAATAACTTGGGTTTATAACTGCAAAATTACGCATAAATTTAAGACTGAACAACTAATAGACGGAGTCGCGGTTTGACTATTGACTATACTACTTACATTATTTTCTGTACATTACTACTCTTATTTCCCCTAATGATCTTCACATATTTTTGAGTAAAATCAGATGGATAGTCATTCACTATTATTGTTTTCTTCATTTGCTTGATTTCATTAATTAAATCTGACTTACTGGCTAGGTTCTTGGCTGCATTATATGAACACTTAACTGGGCCTACCTTTACCGAGTTTGGGTGAGATGAACCTAGGTTTTAATATTTACAAGAATGTGTCGACTTCCTACAGATTCAAGTATCTAACTCACGATTTTGTTTTTGTTTGATATGAAAATCTAGCATGGTGGAGATATGTGGTTGACACATTCATCATGTTAAAATCCGAACATATCCCTGAACTCTTCACACGCAGACACTCAGCAGGAAATGGAATCCAACTAAATTTTGAATTAGAAAATGAATCAGGTGAGTTAGCTATGCTAGGCTTAAGGACCCGATAGATCCAATTAAGAAAAATATAATTTATCAAATACCACGTAATAACTGTGAGGTCACTCAAATAGGTCAAATTAGTAGGTAAGGATTATTTAGATTATAGAAACAAAGCAATTTAACTAGAGCTAGAATGACTGACTCCGCTAAGTTAGACAACGTAACTCAGTATTTGCAATACACCTTCTTGCATGTAATCCCAATAGGGTTGGACAGCGTGGAAGTATTAAAAAAGAATACAGTTGGGTGGATAAGTGAATCTTCGTTCATCGACTGAACATCAAACGCATACAATCGACATGACAGACATATGGAAAATCACAATGAATAACAGGGGAATGAAAAATTATATAAACCGAACTATGAAGCCTTATGATTACACTGATTTGACTATCTGCAACAAAATGTGTTCGAAACATCATCTAGTTACAAATACTGTATCACTGAGTGTCATATAAAATAAACTCACTTCACATCAAGTCAATGACCTAAGGGTTCAAAATGGAAGGTTTAATATAACTGACTGACTGACTCGTCAACATAAAGCTCTTCTACAAAGTATATCAGTTTAATATGAGTTTGTAATTATCTTGCCTGCATAGCTAACTTCCAATTGATAAGTCGAGGTTGAATCTTACGCCAGATATTTACCAGTCAGACAGTATTACTATCATTCAAACTGCATGAACTAACTAATAATGCTGAATTGATTTGACGTACGCATTATGTGAAGGGCTAAAAGCTAATAAACAATGGTTCAAAATTAAAACGTTAAGCAGATCCAGAAGTATTGATAGGAACTCTAGATATCCAAAATATTTACTACAGCTAAGTTATGCAAAACACCGTAACACTAATAAATTTCACAAGCAAAAGCTGTATTAACGTATTAAACACCAAATGTTTAGACTTAATGGACTTTAGACTCACTGTCTACTAAGCCCTACATACGGAGACATAATAAACCCCACTGATTGCCGTAATATAACTGTGGTTTAAGTATAAAACCTGGGCACTGTGGTAAAGTATAACTCCACTATAGATAGGATTTTATTTTGATAAATCACACAGTGTTGTACAGTAACTGATGACGTTTTGAGCATAAATTATCACTCATAATCATATCAATAATAATAATTTCTACTCGAAACGTCATCAGTTAATATTACTGTACATCACTGTGATTTATCAAAATAAAAAATTATCTATAGTGAAGTATGAATGTGGTTGTCTGATTTATATATCATAACAATCCAACAAATTGTGCCTGCTGAAACTAATGTTCACATAGGTGCTACCATGTCCCAAAGACAGTATGCATAGCGTTTAGACTGAAAGCAGTTACCATTGAGGTGTAAGTGGGGGTTAGAGGGTGAAGATATGCTACAATACACTAATTCAGTTGGACAAATAACAGGCCAGCCCTGCTGCATTTCTGCTTAATACATAAGGATCAGAAAAAGTCAAACAAGAAAATTATACATCTCCAGTTAATTAAAACTGGTCCGTAACTAGTGGCAAGATTTTTTGTACAGAAGTTCCACAAAATCTGCTCCCAAAGAGACCATGTCACCAGTCCCAAGTTATCGCCTGGACTAAGATTGTGCAACACTAGTTTTTTCCATCCGGCACCTCAAGAATAAATCAACTGCCATATGGACATCTAAAAGCAGCAACCACCCACACACTTCTATTAGCACATAAAGTACTTTTCTTCACCTTTTACTACTTCTCTCACCTCTTCAGATAGTTTATTTATCTGCTCTTAGCCCTGCCACCACTACTAGCCGTTCGTCACCTAGTGTACCAAGCTATACCAAGCCGATGACTTTCAACGTCCAGACCTCGAGCCAAATAGAGAAACTAGCCTGACTGTGGCACCTCCAAGTTCGATCCAGGTTGTGTTCCAGAGACACTCGCGAGACCAAAGTATATTTATTTATTTAACCTCCCCTTATTGATTAGGCGAGTAGGCAGTATTCAGTCTGCGCTTAATAGTTTCTGCGGCTAGTTCTTGTAGATTTCGGGGTGTGCGGAGACTACTAAACTTGAAACCAGAAAATACCACTGCAATGAATTCCAGTAGACAACCATCGGTAAACATCTCATCAATTAGACCTTAGGAAGTAGAAATCCGAGAAAAATGCATCGGCTGTGCAGTCATAAGAGGGTGCTTCGGTCGTATCTTCAGTCTGCGATAGGTCCCAGAAAGTATGTATAATTTCCATCATTTAAAATTCACATTTCTTGACAAGTTGGGTTTTGACTCTGTCAATTAAGGTGCTGTGTTGATGTTTGGCTGAGGTTGTCTTGAGAACAAGCGATTATGGGGAGCAGTCAACTGAAATCCCGACAACCAGTAGTCCCTTACGCATCCTCATTATCAGCATTACTTAATTTTACCGTATATATACTAATGCAAGCGACCTTACCCGATTTCGCAGTCTCAGCAACTGATATGTTACCAGAAATCTCTGGATTAGAATACACAGAATATATAGACCACGTACATACACTGGTGAAAGCCTTTCGGAGAGCGTGAGGAAAAAACCCGATTTGCCTGGCATCAGATTCTCTCTTGCCAAGATCATTCTACAATACTGGCTTGCGAGGACTCTCAGTCTAATGATAGGGAGTGAAATGGTTGTGGATCTATCGGCCACTTCACGTACATCAGGCCAAATGGGCCGGTTGTTGATTGAATCTCAACTCGAAAATAAAGGCTCGTTGGGCACTTGCTAAATTGTGTCACATTTTGCATCGGAGTGATATCCAGCTGTCCCTCAAAAGGATATGTACTGTCTACTGGTTCTCAGTCTTACTTTATGAATGAGACAGCTGTTGAAGGTGGGGGGGGTATGAAAGGATTCACGGTTCCCAGCCGCAGATTGCCATGTGAATGGACACGATTTGGTGCATTAAGCAGGACCTAGAGACTGATTTCCTGTCTATATCTTCGTGTGACCACCCTTAACTTTTCTAAAATTATTACACGTCAAGTAACACTTCTCCGAGAATTCAGTGGTTTGGCATGCGTGTAAGGTGTTCTAACCACTCAATCGGTACAGCTTCAAAACCTTAAAGACTGGACTTCACACGCTGCCTGAAACTGATCTTAAATCTATTAATATAAAATAATAATAATTTTCTCTACCAAACCGCCTAACATGGGAGACAAAGAGCGAACATCTATGGTCTAGTAGCCTCTTATCACCCACTTCCGAATGCCATGTTCCACTACCACAAAGGACGGAAGCCGGATAGCTCAAAGAAGCAGCGAGTACAGGCCTAAAAAACGAAGAGGCTAGCAAAATGCCAATACTTCTGAACACTACGAGCACCGATATGAGAACATCTCCTTTAAGTTTCACAAATAGACGCAGTGTAACGGATTATGAGATGGTCAAACGTGTTGACAAATGAGAGCACAAACAGGATTACTTCCGAACGATCAGGCTCCGCTGAGAATCTCTTTCACTCTATACGTGAGTCAGTGGAAGCAACTAACATCCCTTACCAAGTTGTTCTATAACGATAAAGCTCAAACAAAAACGTTGAAGTGGAACAAAGATGCAGCCATAGTCACATAGATCTTAAAAATCAAAAACAAATTTTCCGTAGCAAGCAACGCAAGATGTTTCGCCTACTTGATTCTGGACGACAGTGAGAAGCCCTTTGTACGAATTTATATTTGCACACTGAAAACAAACCCGGATTAAGTTAATAATAGTAATAGCAGAAGTACGAAGCGAAGAGCGGAAAGGGGAGGCTGAAACAACTATTAGACACTTCTCCCAAACCAATTAACACTGAAAATGTACTGGGGATGTAATATATTTCATCTGCTCTTCCTGAAAACTTTGTTATCCGAACTGATAGAGTAACATCGCAATATACGCGAAGAGGTTGCTGAAACTTGTGCTATTTCACACCTTATGAACCAACCGAAAATGTGGATATCACGTGAAAAAGGGTAGAAATACATCCCTACTTAGTGCTAATGACTGCTTTCAGACCGATTAAAGGTTGGTCGACAATGGCTAGGACAAGACGGTTAACGAATGATAACCTCAGAATGAAATTACTTTAGTCAACACTAATAAGCACGATGAAACACATTATCAACTTACCACTCTTCAGTTTTGTGAGCCTCAAAAAACTCTTCGATATGACGCTTCATGTAGCCTTCCTTGTACTCTTTGTACTTATTGCAAGCTTCCTCCTCAGTTATCAAATCATCTAGGGGATCAAGGAATCGTTTGAAGGGGAGTACTGGGGGCCTGTATATACTGTCATACTCTGTGGTACTAGAGCTCTTTATGTCTTTGCGCAAGTAGGAATTCGACCTATAATCCTCGTTGGATTCCTTTCGTGACTTTTTATACGGTGGCTCCGCATTTGGAGAACGTCCTCGTTCACCTGGCACACGATGATCATCTGCATTTGCTGGCCGGTCGTCGAAGGGTTCTCGTTTATCACCTGGACGACGTCGTCCATCGTGATCACTCCGCTCGCGGCGGAACTTATCACGACTTCGTCGACGATCTGACTCATCATCTGAGTCAGCCATTTAAAATCTGAAAAGTAGATAAAAAAACTATATAGAGCAACCAATAAGGCCTCCCTAAAATTTACCAATTAGTATAGCCCGATTTTCATTAATTAGAATCAAACGCATGGACAAGTTAACTCACCAAATAAGATGCAGGTGCATACTGCAATTGTGCGATGCATATTTATGATTACAGAGGTGAACTATTTAAAAACGACGTTGTAATGAATAACGTAATGTATAACTTGGAACTCGGTAGTCAAACATAATTCCACTCGTGTCCTGATACTCTAAACATACCTTTAGAGGGGCAGCCCTCTGGTTGTTTATATGGACATCACTAGTTGTTTCAAACAAAACCCAGCAGCAAATAAACTTATGCCAACTAGATCAGCAAAATCTTGAAAAAATTACTTTTCTTGCCTTGAAAACTTCAAAATATACAGATTCATAAGCTTTTGTGTTTGAGATTCTACAATCAGACTTTTCAGTAACTTATCCTTGTGTGAAATTCACTTCTTGATAGTCGCTGGTTGTCCTTTCGGACTGGCTCCAGATTTTTGGTGGAGATTTTTTGCTTTATTTAACGCACAGACAGAAATACCTAAACTCTATTTTCTAAGTAATGTCTGTTTTTTAACAAAACAGTGACGCTTCTGAGATTTACGAATTTCGCCGAAGACACCGCGAAGGAAGGAAGGAAACAAAGAGGAAGAGTATGCAGAACAAGTATGACGGATCTGACATGGAACAGATAAGAGGGGAAACACAATCAAACAAGATGAGGGATTAATAGACAGGCAAAAAGCGAGAGAACAAATATATGCGTAGATAAAAATGTGGGATATTCGTAGTACCAGTTCAGTTCTAGTAGATACGCTCAAGCCCTTCCCCCTATCAGATTGTCCTTAAATTCTCCTGAGATAAACAGCATACAGAGAGGAGCCCGTTTCATCTGATAGCAAATTCCGAAATTGGTAAACAATTATGAGGAAGAGGTTATGCTGCGTTTTATTGCCACCCTTTGCCGGGAAACCCTGTTGAGGCCACAAGGAGTGACAGCATGATGTGAATTACGTACCATCTAGTATGCCCAGTCGGGAAATTGCAGTACCATCTATCAGAGTTAATCAAAATAATGGTGACGTGTTATCGGTTACTTCAGCAAATGCAGTTGGAAATTTCTCGCTTTATTTTTTTACGGATAGACATTTGCAGATATTCGTCATTGTTAACTGCTAGCCCGATTTGCGTGGCTCATTTCTAAAGACTGTTAAGGTCTTTTTCAGTCCTCTGGTTGAGTAGCAATGGATGCAGTCTGTCACCTGGGAGAAAATTTCTCCTTACAAGTCTTTTTGTGTGAATTCTGCTCGTGAGCATGTCAAAACTATTAGGCCAACAACAAACATTGTTAAGGGTAACAGGTAAAAATTTGCAGGCAAAAGAATGTTTAAGAGACACCCACAGAAAATATTTGGCTCTAAATTTCTGTCGAGTGCTATAGTTTCTGAGACAATTCTTGGTCTAAACTGTCGGTATCTATGTAAAATTAACCCTCAGTAAGCACACAGTTTTTCTAAATAACGTATCTGTTTCACTACACTATTTTGTCATTGCTGCTGTCTGACCAGCTTGTTCTTCAGTTTTCTTTGGGATTTGTATAACCTATAGTTTGTAGAAGGTCAGTCTCAAACCTTTTCCAGGACACAAGTAGCAGAAGATAACAGGCCGAAGGAATTTAGAAATTCAAATATTCTTCTTGTATCGTGCCGTAGGGTTCCAAAGAGAATTTCAAGGTAATGAAATCTTGTTTCTCATTCATGGCTTGACTAACCTGGAAATCCGCCCAAGAAATGTTAACTGATAACTTCCTTTGGATTTCTCGCCTTGTCAGCGTGGTGTCTTCAACAGCACTGTCTTTGTTGTGTTCACTTTAAGTGCCGTCTTCTCTACCTCCTCTGTTGACTTGCTGGTTTTCGCTCATTTATTTTAGGGACGTAAGTCTCCTAGCTTCTTTTTTCCCTTTCGGCTTTTGTCCCTTCTCACTATCCCTCAAGTTGACTGCATGGCCCGACCTAAATTAGGGGTATAATCAGTGATAATAGGCAAACATCCATGTCTTCCTCAAGGCTTTGGTGCAAAGGTTGCAGTGGAGTCTAGACCGTAAAATGACTTTACATGCGAATTCGTCGCACATTCTTGCGGCGCTCCCTAGCGAAGAGGTAGTCACTAGGTTACTTCACAGGTAAAACCGTGGAGGGTCTTTTCAAAGTCTACGTGGTTGAGATAAAGGGTTTAATTTCATCTTAGGCCTGCCTAGACGTTAATATATGTTTTCATAATTTGGTTTACGCATGGCTTGTTTTAGAACCTACCGTCCAACAAATATGTAGAAGAAAATGAAGGTGGATAAGGCGCACACTGAGGAAACCGTTGAACAACACCACACGCCGTGACCTCGAGTGGAACGCGGTTGGGAAACGACGAGCTTGTCGTCCTAGAGTGACATAGGACAGATAGATAAAGGACGAGGTGAGAGATTTTGTGCAATCGTTTATCCTGAATCCTGCCTGCTCCAGGCCAAGTCTTCCATCCAGTTTATCAGGCGTTTCAGGCCGATGGGCTTGATATTTCCCTTGTGCTTATTAGAGCATGATATCACTCTAGTTTTCCGATTAGCGCAATAGACCGATCTATGATGGTCTGACAAGGCAGTGTAAATTTCTCTCAAACGACGGTTTGCTTTCTTTATTCATACTTCTTCCTCCGTAAAGATGTAGGTGAGACCTCATGGGCAGTTCTGAGTCGGCCAGTGGAACTTTTAAAGGTTGGTACTCAGTGGCCGAATTAAGAGTCCTAGGAAACGATCTGTGCAGCATTTCATCTGACTGTTCCCGTCGAGATTTTCGGTTGATATCTTCATAGAGAGCAGCTTGAACTTAAGCATAATGTCCGTAAATTTCTCGCACATGTAACCGATTATATCTCAATTGAAACAATGTCACAAATTACTCTTTTATATCTTCACTACTATGATCAAGACAATGTATATAAACCTACGTTTATTGCTAGTCTCTGCACCACTTCATCTGTCGCGTGTCAATGTTCGTGAACATAAAATAGTTCGTTTGTTCTGACTGGTATCCATTGGTGGTTGACAAGAAGGCTGTCATTGCTAATTCATTTATTGGTTGGTAAAAGATTGGAGAAATACGATCAGAGGTTTTCTTGTATATTATATTAACATCTATTTACAGAATTTGGCACTGATTAACCACTGTAAATCTATTTCGTTACCCCATGAAGGGGAGATGATGTTGTCCAACCGTCTCCTGTTGTCGCGTGTGGGTAACATTGCATAGTGTTCTGAATATTAAGCTTATCTTCTGAAATCAGCGATAGGTCTGGGATCTCAGAGATCTGGATATTTGACAGTTTCTGATCTTTTCCTCTGGTACTTCTTGATTGGCCTCCTTCAGAAGTTGTTCTTCCTCCTTGAGTGAATTTAGTTGCTGGTCCCATGCGTCTTTAGACAAGCGTTGTTGGAACTTACGTTTGGTTCTGGTAACGTTCAGTAATGCCTGGGCCAAGGAAAAGATATGGTAGTGTGGAAGTAGGCAAAATAGGAGATGATGATATGCCTAATGTTTGTAATAAGTTGTTTGAAGTCACAGTTGAGAAGGTTGATAGCATGTAGCGTTAACTAAGGAGAGTAGACGCTTTAAGGTGCCTAGGTTTGAGCCTCAGTGTTTCGATGGAAACCCAACAGATTATCCTCGTTTTGTGAAAGAAATTGAAATGATGATGAGTGGTTACAGACTTAATGATGATATGAAGTTGATGTACTTATTCAGATATTGCATTGCGTCAACAGGAGTCCAGTGGTGTGAATCCAAGCCTCCAAATGAAGGATACACCTAAGCTACGAGGATATTACGTCAAATGTTAGGGAGGCCATTTATGATATACAATCGTCTATATGAGACAGTTAAAGGTAATAGGACGCGGTTAAACGATAATTTCGAGGAATTAACCGAGTTTTCGGATAGTTTTATGGTGTATAGAGGTGCCCCCGCTTCCCTGAATTGTATGAATGAATTGAAATCGAATTCTGCTACTGAGAGATTACCCGTTTGCTCATGAAAAAAGTTCGTAGAAATCAGCTACGGTTTAGAGGATGATGGTTTACAGACAGGGTTCAATGATATTTTGAGGTTGCTGAAAGCAGTGCCAACGAAGCAGTGAGCAAGTTTGCCAGTATATTGCACCCCACCATTGAAATTGGGAAGTCAGAGGGCGAATCGCAATCATCTGTGACAAAGGGCTGTCAGAAAGGTTGTCAATGTAGTTGAAGATTGAACGATCGATTCATGGTTGTTTGCTCAAACCCAACTCCTCCATATTTTTCGCGGGAGTCATCAATACTGCGGTCATCGTCTCATCACTCACTGTTCGTTGAAGGAAAAAACTATCGGAAGTATTATCGTCCAAGAATAAATGATTCTCGAGTCACCATTCTGTGTTCTGTATTTTCGCGTTGGTTATTGCACATTGTTGCTGAAGTTCTCCTAAGGACAGCGTGAGGTCCAGTGTATTAAGACCTGAACACCGACGGTTTCTGACAGTTTCTGATAGTTCTCCGGGAATTATTCGTCTTATTTGTTGTCAATTCGTCTTTCCTCGCGTCTGCCCGTCTTCTCTGGACAAGTGTTATTTGGAATTTTTCTGGATCGTTTGGTCAAGTTCAATAGTGCCTGGGTCAAAGAAAGGACAAAGCGTTTTGGAAGCAGACAGGAAAGTCTGTTATATGTGATGATATGTGTGATGCTATGCATCATAAGATTGATTTCCATGTTTCGCCGTCTAGGGATAATAGAAATTTTAAAATTCCTAAATTTGAGCCTCGATGTTTCAACGTAAACCCAGCTGACCATCCACAGTTTGTAAAGGAGTTTGAAGTCATGTTGAGTGTGTTTGCTAGAAATGAAGAAGTGAAGCTAATGTATTTGTTAAGGTACTGTATTGGTGCTGCTGCAAGAGCCATATATTGCTGCCAGTTCATGTACCCAAACGAAGCATATACAGAGGCAATGAGGATAATACGTCAAACGTTTGGAAGGTCATTTATGATATCCCGTAGCAATTTTGAGACTGTTGAAGGTAATGGAGCGCAGCTAACAACCAAACCCGAGGAACTACCAGAGTTCTTCGATAATTTAATGGTATACAGAAATACTATCGTTTTTCTTAACAATATGGATGAGTTGAACTCAAGTTCGGTGATTGACACAGTCGTCAAGAAATTACCGGTTTGTCTACAAAG